GAAGAAGAAGAAGAAGAAGAAGAAGAAGAAGAAGAAGAAGAAGAAGAAGAAGAAGAAGAAGAAGAAGAAGAAGAAGAAGAAGAAGAAGAAGAAGAGGACGAATAGGAATAGGGGTAGCATACGTAAATCCTCGCAAAAAGAAAACCTATACTATCCGCAGATAACTCCCATTAGTATTCCAAATGAATACCGCCTCTTCGTATGTCTATCTGTCCATCTTTATATCTTCTATATATAGGCATTCATCCATGTCCTGCTGATCACCTAGCGATTCTTTCGCGAGCTATCTCTCTATCTCCTTCCCTATCTCAGTTGCAAAGCGCCTGGCCTCTTCACTCATCGTCCATTTCTTTACACTCTTTCACACCTCTTTCTCCAAAAGGGGCCCCATGCCTTTGGGTCCTGACATCAGTGGATAGACGGATACGCTTGCGATCGACCGATTAAATCTTGGAGGTTCTCTCGACCCTACCTACTACCTAACTAAAGGAACAAGGTCATAGTTAAGTGTATGTGAAAAGTAGCTCGTATTGGGTTGGGTATCTATCGTTTCTGTCGTCGTGGCTCATCATCATCGTGTTTTGTCATGGTTGAAAAGAAGAAAAGAGAAAAGAGGACAAAAGAAGACAGATAGACATGAATCGTCCATCTGCGCAGGTTCCTGGCCAACAGTGAGCAAGAAATTCGACCGACCAGCCAGCCAGCCAGCCAACACAAGTATCGTCCATCAGCAAGGCAAAAGTCACGAAATTCCATCTTGCTCTAACATTTCCGGAATAGTTACTCTTGCATAGGTTGAAAATGAGATCGGTCAAGAGCCTCGACCCGGTATGGAGCCATCACCTGAGCGGGGAGGTTGTCATAGACCTGCGCCATTGACGAAGGACCATAAAACGAGTCCATGCTCGAGTTTGTTGTGTAGAGAGGGGCCACCATGTTGCTCGTGGTGAAAACCTGGTGCTGGTGTTGCTGATCCTGGTGGTGCGTCGCGTACGCGGGCGAGTCAGGCATCATTCGAGGTGTTGCAAAGTCTGCTTGGAAAGCGAGTCCTTGAAGGGGGCCTCGAGCTGTTGCACTTGTTGGAGAGTGGTGGGGCCGCACGTTGCTTCGTGCCATCGGGATTGCATGATTCTGCAAGGCTCTGGCTTTGATCTTGCGCCTCTGTGCTAGACTCTTGAACCGCCTGGTCCTCTTAGGAAGATAGACTTCACATATTGGGAAGATATCTTCAGCTTCGTCATCAGACGATGGCGGAGTCTCTTGTTTGATGTCCTGAGCAATTAGCTCAGCAAAGCTTGGTTGGCCACAGGGGACGTATGAGATTTCGTCGGCATGCTCGGGCGGAGTAAGCCCTTCAGACGAGCTGTTGGACCCGTTGCTGTCCTCACTTGCGGGTTTCTCACCTCGCTTAGCCTTGCTATTAGAAATCTGTCTCTTTGCAATTTTTTCCATGTGGAACCCCCTAAGGTGCTCTGTCAAGTGGTCTCGCCTTGTGAATCCTTGACTGCCCTTTCTCTCGCAGTTCCTCTTTGGACAGTCAATGTACTTGATGTCGTGTCGAGACTTGTAGTGTCTCGTTACATCGGCTTTGCGGCTGAAGAATCTTCTGGGTCTTCCCTCTTCATCCAAGCAATCTCTATGCGGACAGAAAGTCTGCCTGTCGGCGACACTTCTATCACGATGTTAGAAATATTCTTGTTAGAATGATAACACAGGATGACATGGATAGAAAGGGTGGGGGTCTGATGAAATCCAACAGCGCAGCCACTTGTCAAGACTTGGACGGTATACGTACTTGCTGTTCGACGGATTGGGTTCATCGCCTTCTTGCTTCAGAAAGTGCCCTTGATTGTTCTGAGGCGTCGACAATTCTTCCTGAGAATTCAATACAGGTGCTCCTGTATGGGTGACTTGGTCATCATATGGTGCTCGATACTGAGTGCTGGCCTCGACGAAAGAGTAAGCTGACCTCGGCGTTGCCTCCTGACTTGCAACACTGTACTCTGCACTGACTGTGCTTGCTCCGCTACAGCTTCGACCCCTCGCGCTAGCCGAGTGGCCAGTGATGGCATACGCCTCTTCGGGATGATATCCATGGGTTGGGAGAGAGAGCATGTAACTGGGATGAGGTGCTATCGTTCGGGGAGTGCAGCAAGTGTTGTTGTATGTTGGACTCCCAAGCTGATATGACATGCTAGCCGGCAGGCTGATCGAGAGGCTAGATGAGGCCTCTGAAACGCTCATCGAGAGTGTCTGTTGAGGAAGAAATGCATCCGAACCAAAGTGTTCCCTCAAGAAGTCACGGTGGTCGTAGCTTCCCATGATGGGGCACGAATTTCTCAAGCACAGAGAGAGAAAGAGCCTCCAGAGTTTGAGCAGACAAGAAGTAGGAATGCTCGACTTGCAACAAGGAGCACGCGGTTGTTAATGTGACGGATGCAAATAGTTGACCTCGAGTTTCAGCCTTATGCTGGTATTCAGAGCTTAGAACCTCAGATAGCAAGGGAGGGACTCTGTCTCAAGTATACGCTGCCAGCATCTGTTTGGAGACGAGGCAAACTCAAGCTATGCTGTGAAGGGAGGCTGTACCGGATAGTCAACGATATTGGGACACAAGAAAAGAACTGGCAGGGATAGGAACCTGACTCGGTCACCCTTGAACCGATGGGTGATGGCTGCGGGAGTCATCAGGGCTATTAGACTGCTCGGATTGAACCACTCGACAGGAGGACAATGCAGGACTTAGCGCGAAGCGTGCTCCCCGGTGAAAGACAAACCACTCTGGAGTCAATCCACCTGACGCTCTTGTACAAGCCTAGCGGGGAGAAGCGATCAAGTCGCAGGAGGGACGGACTTCCACCCTATGCTTGGAAGACCAATGTGAATATATCAAGTGGATTTCCTTGCAAAGGAGGCCCAATCAGGAGCGTCTCTCAGAATGTGAGGCTAACCTCCAGGGCTTATACTTCGAGAAAGCATTCCTTACCTACCCGTGTGCCGAGTGTCGGGAGGATATGTGCGATTCGCTCGTCAGAAGAGAACCTCCGACCCCTGTTGCGGTCTGGACCTGCAGTTTGCTGCTATCGTTTGTGAAGCATTCAGCATCATCGGGCATACGGGGACTATGGTAACACTGCCTCGATATTTGAATTTCTTGACTCCGAACTCGTTTGGGAAGGTGACGGCCAAATCGAGGACACTGTGGACATGAGGCAAGGTGGCATAAATAAGCGAGAGAACAAGGAACAAGAAGACCAGGACATGGCAGCCCGATGGGCCCCAACCCGGGTACACTGGAGAACAAACCCAGGTACTCTGTACTTCGTGCAGATGTGTCTGGATCGCCCTGTCAAGGCCACAAGCCGCTTCGGGACGTTTCAGAGTTGAGATGTTCAAGAAGTTGTGGGCAGCGCGGCAGTGTCCGTCAGAGATCTTCTCTCCAGCCATGGTTGCCTTTTGCGGACCCAAGCGGCTCTGTACCTTGGTAGGTAGTAGCGAGGGAATGAGAACTAAAGCAGGCAGGGAAAGGAGGCTGAGCACCAAGGCTAGGAAGACAAACATCCTATTGGTGGGGATGTGAACACTAACCCCAAAGTGGACTAGGGGTGGATGCCTTTTCACAGCCTCATTGCATGGACTCGGCTTGACGGCCTTATGTTTCTCTCGATTCATTTGCGGCAAGGCAAACTTGTAACACCGAAAGTGAGGCGGTGGTAGACTAGGCTGCCATCTGCCACATGGACAAACAATTGAAACAAGGGTAGCACACATTCCACAACGCGCCTTGAGCGGAGCCTCCCAGTACCGAGCAACGCAAGGCCACATCCTTGTGGCGGGCATGGCATACACAGCATATCTCAGAACAAGGTTTGGAAGTTGCAAAACTGGAGCTTTGTTGACTCTTTGAGAGGTGATCGAAACCCCTCTCCAAAAGTGGGCAAGCTGATGCATGCAGCGGGCCGACGGCCAGCACGCCGCTGACTGAGCTATTCTACAAATCGTCCTCGAGGAACTTGTAGACAAACTTGAAATCTGCCTTTCGTCGATTCATCCTGCAAAGGGTTAGAACGAGATGGGGTGAGGACCAAGGATTTGGCTTGATGCGTACCAAGTACTTTCATAGTCGAAAAATCGATATGTGCCTTGTTCAAATTCCTCGGTGATTTGCTTAGGCTCTTCGTGACGTTGGAACCACGTTTGATACTGCTTATGGAAGCGCCAACTCTGGTTTTTGAGGGCGCGTGCCGCCAGCCACTGTTGATAAGTATTCTGCCGATAGTAGAATATGTAGAATAGTGTGTCCGTCTCCAGCCTCTGGTTTTCGTACAATGCCGGATCATCAAATATAGGGAGAACATCCTGAGGGTAGTGCGCCGGTGTGTTGTACTTGAACGTTGGCCGGTAATATTGGGGCCGATCGCTATCGGAGGGTTCCGGACACGTCTCCTGAGAAGCCTGTAGCAGTCTCGCTAGTTGTGACGGAGGCTGAGCAGCTCGACTCTTGGTGGTCTCGAATGAGTCTAGTAGATCCTGAAGTCCAGGAGGAAGATGATAGATCGATTCCACTGCGGCTGAGTCTTCGTGCACATCGCCATTCGTGGTTGGTATCTCGTCTGCAATCACAGGCTCTTGGACAGCCTCAGATTTCTCCATTGCTGGCGTAGGAGGAATGCTGCTGGGAATGCTCGGGGCCCGCGCACTAGTGGAGCTTAAAGTCGGAGACTTTGAGTGATTGGATTGCTCTTGCGATGCTGAGCCATCCATACTTGCCGCGGCAGGTGCTGGCGAAGCAGTTTTCTCCACCGGTTGCGCTGGCAAAGAAGCAGGTGATGTTGTTGCCGATGTCTTGACCGGGGCAGGCAATGGATGTGATGTAGGTGCGGCAATTGCTGCAACTGGCGGAGGAAGCGGAGCAATACCCACTCCGCTTTTGTCGCTTGCTGCTGCAGCGGCTGCAGCTGAGGCATACTTCAAGGTTTCGCCTGGAGGTCGATTCGGGATTGGTGCGGGTTTCATTGTCGAGTCCTTGGGTATTGACGGTGGCGGTGGCATCGTGTTCAGAGTTGCCAGTGCTGGCAGAGGAGATTTGAGTTGTGTGGAGGGTCGTCGTGTGGCAGGGTGCGGTTCTGATTTCGTTTTCTTGAGTGCGATAGACGCATCCACGTCAATGTCTTCCTGAATGGATTGTGCATCTTGAGATGATATTCTGTCTACGTCGTTGTTCAGTCCGAACTGCGCCTCTTCGCTGTCCAGATTACAATCATCGTAGATACCCTCGTAGGCTTCGGGGTCGAAATCCGGCTCACGGCCTTCCCTCACCACCTCTTCAATATCGGATTTGATTGATGCCACTAGATCATTCTCGACATTGCCGTTCTGTAGCGATCGCAGGAGAAGTTGTAGTCGGGATTCATGCCATTTGTATGTCTCGGTCATGGCTTCGATCTCCGCAAGACGATCAGCCTTGGAATTATCTTTCTGCTTCTTTTTGAGAGCGGCCTGTAAATTGCCAGCCTCGGGTTCTAATTCCTCGGTCAGAATTCTGTTGATCTCGTCCAACTGGTCGGACAGGAAGTCGCAGAGCTCTTCTCTCTCCTTCTCTTTGGGATCCTGCTTGACATTCTGTGATAGCCCTTCTTTGGAGAACGCTTTGGTTTTCATCTCCTTCTCCACTGCTTTGAATATCTCCATGCACTGCATCGGTGTCAGTCCCGTTCTCGAGAGCATCTGTTGTCCGGAAGCCTCACTTTCTCTATCCGCTTGCGCTGTTCCAGCAATGCAGACTTGTCCTTGATCTCGTTGCCGGCTGCCCATGTCTTTATCTGGTCGCGGGATCTTTGTAGTTTCTTGATCTCCTTCTTGAGATTGTCCTCCAATTTGTCTTTCTGCGCGGCATTTTGGGACGAGTATATCTTCTCATAGATGCCTTCGAATGCTTGGATTCCTTCGTCGACCTTTTTGAAGGTTTTGTCGATTTCTTGCTGCGTTTTTCGCGACGCCATGATTGTGGGACATCAATAGAGGTTGAGAGAAGTGCGACGAGGATGCGAGGGTCGGGTGGAGGGTCTACCGAGTGCACGGAGGGCGCATGGGCGTGTTTTGTACTTGGCTCTGTCTGCGGTAGTGACAGCCACGCGCTGCGTTGACTGCAGTATCCCAGGCTTGACCAGGCGAGCAGGTTGGACGGAGGTTGCTGGCCACGTGACTGGCTGGTTTAAGGCGACGCCGGTCTTGGCATGTCGAATACTACCGCCGGTTCCCCAGCAATTTCCTAACTCTCAAGCACCATTTCACACGCTTATTGCCATCAGACTCACTTTTTCGGTCGCCAGACAACACCCATAGGCCGCAGAGGGGATTCCTACATGATCTGTATCCTTACTGAAAGCCGCCAACACCACGGATTGTCTAGGTCGATAACACCGACCACCCGCAAATCGCGGTGAGATATTCAAGATCATCTTGTTGACCTGTTTTTGCGTGTTAGTGCTTGCCCTTAGTGAGGCACGAGGCCGTGCTTGCTGCGGGAGTCATCCCTCCAAGTCGGCAACATGAAAGCAATACTGCAGCGAGTCCTATCGAGCTCTGTCATGGTCAATGGTCAAATCGTCTCGGCGATCGGCCAAGGAGTTCTGGTTCTCGCTGCGATTGGTCCCGATGACACAAAGAAAGATGTCGAAACCATGGCTTCCAAGATTGTCAAGATGAGGCTGTGGCCAGACGAGAACGGCGTCAACTGGAAGAAGAGTGTCCAGGACGTCGAGGGAGAGATCTTGTGTGTATCACAATTTACGCTGATGGCCAACACGAGGAAAGGTACCAAGCCGGATTTCCATGGAGCTGCTAAGCCAGAACTTGCGAAAGAGCTGTATGACTACTTCGTGACTCGTGTCTGTGACCAGCACGGCTCGGATAGAGTCAAAGATGGTGTCTTCCAAGCAATGATGCAAGTTAGTCTTGTCAATGACGGCCCAGTAAGATCTGCTTTCAATACAAACAATCAAATGGTGAGTGTGCCGATGCTAAACAATCCAGGTTACTATCGAGATTGATACAAGTCCGCCAAAGAAGGACTCGGCGAGCAGCACTAAAACCAGTACTGGAGCATCGACGCCTGTGCAGGAGGAGACTAGCTGAGGTACTCCAATGAGCTGGACGTCCAATGTGAACTTGTCAGCCCCCTCCGCATTTTGCCAGCAACTGTTCACGATTCAAGGGTGGCTTTTGCCGTTCGTCGTGCGCCCCTTTTCCAACACAACATCAATCACGTGCCATCGCGCGGAAAAGGAGAAGCCCGCCCGTTGGCGATAAAACACGACACATACTTTGGATGATTCGACAGCAATTGAGCAAGGCATGTTGCGTATCTCATACGTAACTTGAAGCATGTCCAGGCACGCGGGGGAGACCAGCGTCCGTTCGCCCAGCATAGCTGCCTTTCCTGGTTTAACCGAGACGCAAGGTTGGAACCATTATTGGGCCTGGAGAACGCTCCTTATCAAGTTCCCACCCAAGCTGTAACGTTATTTCAGCATTTCCATCAAGTCGATGACGGCGGCAGCGGAGGGCATACGCATGCCAACGGATAAGTGCCTATCACTCGCGTGAGGGGTAACTCCTACGCTGATCGGTCATGCCCCGCAAAGCTGTAAACAATTCTTTGATATGAGAGCGAGATTCCCAACGGCAACTTGCGACTCCTCTTACAGCCAGACTCAAGCGCAGCTCACAAGCCATCTATTGAAAGAATTCGTTCAAGGCGCTACCAAGGCGCTACCAGTCACCTCACACTCGATTTTTTGTTGCTTGCCATTATGCCTGGCCCAATTAGGACTGCATTGAAAGTTGACCTCGACAAGCCTGCCAAAGACCAACCGTATCTACATGTGAGCACTGAAGCAGTGGGAGAAAGAGCCAGCGACTGACAAGCTCGCTAGAACAGATGGCATCCTGACGGTACGCTGGTGTGAATGTCCGTGTATCCATTTCTAATTTCCAGCTCTCAGTGCCCTTTTGTGGAACCATCAAGAACGGAGAGACTGTTAAGATCGAATGCTTGGATTGGACTGGTGGACAAATCAAGAACACCGACGATGCTGATGATGTTGTGAATGTCGACCTGACTCAGGTCCACTATCTCTCTGGCCCCTTCGAGATCGAGACTGCCGAGCCTGGAGACGTTCTCCTTGTGGAAATTCAAGATGTGCAGCCCTTCCAGGATCATCCCTGGGGTTTCACAGGCGTATTCCACAAGGACAATGGTGGGGGTTTCTTGGATGAGATCTATCCTGAGGCGTAAGATGTTTCTCAGACTCCAGCACCACTACGCTGTCTAACAAGTTACCGTGCAAATTAGCGCCAAAGCTATCTGGGACTTTGAAGGCATCTTCTGCTCCTCGCGTCACATCCCGGGTGTCCGTTTTGCGGGTCTCATCCACCCAGGCATTCTAGGCTGCGCGCCATCCCATGAGATCCTCGCAGAGTGGAATAAGCGCGAAGCCGAGCTCATTTCAACAACATCTCTCAAGCGTGTTGTGGCACAACCGCCTGAACCCAAAAGCGTGCATGCCGGCACCGCCGACGAAGAGACGAAGGCTCGAGTTGGCAAGGAGGGTGCCAGGACGATCCCGGGACGTCCCGAGCATGGCGGGAATTGTGATATCAAGAATCTTTCACGGGGAAGTAAAGTGTATTTGCCGGTGCATGTCAAGGGTGCAAAATTTTCTGTAGGAGACTTGCACTTCTCCCGTATGTTCCCTCTCCCTCTCCATTCTGTATAGTACGCCGGCACCGCTAACTCTAATGTTCATCATGATCTCAGAGGGCGACGGTGAAATTTCCTTTTGCGGCGCCATTGAAATCGCCGGCATCATCACCATCAAGTTTGATGTGATCAAAGACGGCCAGCGCAAACTCGGCATGGTCGGCGGGAAATCTCCCATCTACATTCCCGGCCCCGTGCAACCACAATTCGGGCCCGGACGAATGATCTATTTCGAGGGCTTCAGTGTCGACGAACACGGCAAACAACATTACATGGATGCGACTGTCGCATATCGTCAGTCTTGTCTGCGGGTGATTGAGTACCTCAAGAGATACGGGTACAGTGACTATCAGATCTACCTGATGTTGAGTTGTATTCCGATCGAAGGGCACGTGGCGGGGATTGTGGATATTCCCAATGCTTGCACGACCATCGGGCTGCCCATGGACGTTTTCAGCTTTGATATCTCGCCCGGCGCGGAGGCGGTCAAGATGGATCTAGGGAAGTGCGCCATGGCCACCAAGTAGGGGCAGGCATCCAAGGCGGGAAGGGGCACACACGGAACAACTCGTCGGTCAAGAATGAAAGCTATAGTTTTCGAAGGACCAAGGGAAGTTATTTTGCTCAGACACCCGTCCCTTTTCCAGCTCTAATATACGGAAGTCATGTGTCCAGAATAGTCCCAAAACCCAGTGAGTATTGAAACTGTTTCAGCAAGGTATATTACGAAACGACAACAGAATGAAAATAAGAGTCTTTTACTTGATTACCTCTCTTTTCCACCCCTTACCAGGCATACATGTCTGCCGACCTACCTAGCTAAATATTCTCTAACGCCTGTGGCAGTTGGGCAATCTGCGGATAGGGAGGTCAGTCAGGCAGTCAGGTAGGTAGTCAAAAGCAGCCCCCCAGGACTGCCTGCCGCCATCCAAGCACACCGGACGCACGCTCATCGGGTCTAAAATTTGTACAGAGCATGTAGTTCGGGACTGCCCTCGCGACGAGGAGGGGGCAGCCTTACTTACGTGTTGTCTCTTTAAGTATAGCGGTGATGGCTGTATGGACGAGAACGTCGTGTAGAAGCGGGCACCTCTAAATATCGTAAGAAAGAGAGAGAGAGACCGTTTTCATAAGAGCTAAATACTTAATGGAAGCAATCAATCCATGTCCGTACCCCGAGATGGTTTCTAACTGAGCGGCTGCCGTCGCGCTTAAGTTCCACGATTCTCGCCTGACGGCGGCGCTGCATGTGCGAATGCATTCAACCAGCAGAGACAAGCTCCCAGTGTGCAGCAACAACCACATTCTCCAGACCTTGGGATTCGAGGTCGAGAGGCCACCTGGTAGCTCGGCCCTTGATGAGGACCTGCGATCCGGGGCGAAGTTCAGACCAGTCGAAGAAGGTAGAGCTTCGACTTGATTTCTCATGCTGCTGCTCTGGTAGGAGCCACCGTCGACCTTTCTCATCGGACACCACAACAAAACGTCCACTAAGGTCGTTCTCGACTTCTGCTATCAGGAGCATTTCCTCCGAAAGCGATTCGGCATGGGATTCTTGAGTTGCAATATCCAGCACCCAACTTCTGACCAGATGCGCACTGCCCCCCAGAATATAGTCCCTCTTGCCTTTGCGGCGCGAGGGCGAGAATATATCCGGTAAAACGGGTCCGCTTCCACCTGATCCATGTGTTTGGTCTTCCGGGACTACTTTAAAAATGGTCCGTGAAACAGGACTAGGTGGACTAAATCCTTGGGCGACGGGCCTGAAGCGGGCAATCTTGCTCGATTCGCTAACCGCCGCTAGCCCTGTACTCTGACCTAGGTTATCGTCTAGATCGGATTGCGATGAGGGAGAATTGGTGCCAGCTTGCAAACTAACATCCCCAGGGCCGTCATCATCCGGTGAGGAAGAAATAGCAATGGGTTCAATGACGCTAGCTCCAGGACCAGGATGGGACACCTTCCGTCGTTTCGTGGCTGGAGCAGACTTCCGAAGTCGATACTGCAGAGGTGATGCTTCACTCTCGACGTGGTCTTGCTCGTGTTCTGCTGCCCGAACGCCTCGGTCGTATAGCGGCGAGAGCGCGCCGCGATCCACGTCATCATCGAGGTCGATTATATCTCCACGGGCGATGCTAAGGTCATCTTTCGACAACAGTGCCGGGTCTGTCCCCTCGTCAAAATTCGTCTGTATATCATCTTTTATCCTTGGACTTGGTCGTTGAAACCGTGGCGTCGCAGTGAAGGAAGGGGTAGCAGAAGGCGGCTGTGTGGAGCGCGAGCTTTGGAATGGGTTCCGGCGCGCAGAGGAAAGACCGATTGACTTTGCAGTAGACGAAGAAGATGGAGGAAGGAATCGTCTAGTTGGCGCAGGTGTCTGGACGTTGTTAATACAGCCGACCTGACTTACCGGAGCGGGAGCTATACATTTTCAGGTTCTGGCATGATTCACAAACATCGCATCTGCCCGTTAAATGAACAAACCAAATGGTTGACGGAAGTGGCCTCGGAGCAGAACATCGAAATCAGGCGAAAACAAGTCACCAATATTCTTAGAAGGGCGCTTGTGGTCACGTGGAGAGTCACGGGGACTACTCTGCGAAGACGAGATGTTCATGAAAATCACCCATATGTACACTGTATCCGCTGATCTCTCTGTGCTGTCGTATCCCCTTAGCATGGGTCAACTTATCCACGTGTATTTCGCTTTCCGCTTTACCGCTCCGTAAGTCTCGCCCAAGTATGCGTCCAGATCGGTTTCGTAGCGGCCTTTCCTTCTTGACGGACCTGCTGTTTGGGGCACCTGCTTCCTCTCCCCCCAATGCCTCACACCCTCCTCATTGAGCCACTTTCCGGTATCGTGACGGTCGTAGTCCTCACATTGACCGCGGCTGGGGTTGTCCACACAGGCATTTCTATAGCTCCTTTGAGCGGGCTGAACTTGTGTATTTGCTCGATTACCGCTGACGACACAACTGTTGTTGTTGATGGCGCCCGGTTCGAAGACAACACTTGCGCCTTGAAAGACACAACGATCCAGGTGTGGGTCGGTTCTTGTGATGTGATCCACAGGTCCGCCACGCCGAACTGGCCGCAAGAGCTTGGCGGCCGAGGAACATGGCGTACAGTATTTGTGTGCATATCCGAATGTTGGTCGGCTAGGACCAGACACAGGGTGTAGGACAGAGACACGGCTGAAGAAGCAGGGGCATGTATGCCAATTTATGCGTTTATAGAGCTTGAGGGATGGTATAGCTAGAGGCTTTGGCTGGGATTGTGTTTGGCGTGTCTCTCTGCTGGAGGACTTGTACGGCCGCTTTGACAGGTAGCAGAAGAAAATCTTTGCGTCCGAGGAAGGATTTGAAGTAGCACCTTGAGAGGAAGAATTGCCAGAGGCCGTGACTGAATGGAGAACGAAGGGACAAAGAGGGACCAGAAGATTGCACATGTCCCCAGAGGTAGAATATAAGGCTGAGATGGCAGAGGGGTAGTTTACTATATCTCAAGCAGCTTCATCGAGAGGCACGAGCCCGGTAGAAGACGCTGATATTATCTCACAAGCACCGCTCGAGAGGTTGTGACTTACATGTTTGTTTGCCACTGCAGGCAGGCGACAAAGCGCCAAAGGACAATTGAAGGGCCAAAAGGCGGACAAAAGTACTCGAGAGTAGGCCAGTCCTACCATAGCTGATTGGTCCAATGAGCCAAGGCAAGGCAAACGGATGCCTGACTTTCATCAATAGCATTCATTATTTGACTCATTCGAGGGTCTTGGGTTGGTTTTGAGCCTCAGCCAGTATTGCATGGGCGAGCTATCTTGTGACGGACAGACGGACGTGGCTCTTGTCAGCTGAAAAGTTGGTCTTGGGCATTGATCTTGGAGGAGATCTTGGCTGATCGAGTCACCGCACCACCGTCGACCACTTTGTGCAAACCTGAAGAATTACGCATGGTTAGTTAGCTGGAAAAGGGGGGTGAAGGAGCTGAGGGACAGATGGGTTGCTGGAAGAAGAAGAAAAAGGAGGAGGAGGAGGAAGAGGAGGAAAGAGGAAGGAGTAATAGAAGTGTCGACGTAATTTGTATCGCAGCATGAAGAGGAGAAACGTTGGCCGCTGATGCTGGATGGAACATAGGGCGGCCAGTAGGTGCTTGGCTGTGGTGCAGTGCCTTGGCCTGGTGCCTGGCGCACCAGGTACTTGTGATGCCCAAAATGCCTACCAAGTACGAAAAGGGTACCTACCTAAGATGTTCCGTGGGCGTCATCCGGGAGCAGCCGAGAGCAACCGACCCTTAATCCTTTTGTCAAGCCAGCCCCCAAAAGGCCCCGGGCGCCCCGGAGGCTTTCCGGGCCAATTCATCCTACTCTTCGCCTTCACCCCTCATCACTTCTACCCCAACTTCCAAATCTCCTGCAAACCGCCTGTACCGCATCATGTCTTCTCGTGTCCGTCGCTCCCAATTCCAGTATCATCTCCGCACTGTGTGAGACGAGATTGCATCTTCTCTGATTGACTGTGCGACCAGCCGCCGTCAGCGATCGGTTGGTGGCGGCCTTCTTGCATGATGCAGCTCGTAGCTTTCGCTAAGGTCGCTAAGATTGCGCACGTCTCCCGTCTTCTGCCAATGACCGTCAGCATCAATAGAGCTGGCGTTGCTCCAGGTGCAGCAGGTGTCATCTCGAAAAGACATCTGCTTCCATGGCGCCTCCAGAGAATCTTCCGCTGCCACTGCTCTCCACCTTGTTAGAGCTTATCTCCCCACCTACTCGGCTTCAAGCGATCTCCCCTGGGGGTGTATCCGCCACGGTGTCGATCCCACCAACGACTGCCTCCTTGTCTATCCTCAATCTAGCAGCTGTTCAATGGTCGTCCAATCCTCGCTGCCCATGGCATACCCCGGTCCTGAAAGCTGCCTTCCAATTCAGCATCTCCCTTCGCCCCAATGCAAGGGCTAGCGACCTGAGGCGGATTCTTGGACGCCCTCGATGCCACCTCAATGCTTGTTTATCTCTCGAGGCTACGTCCAAAGAGGCAGGATAGCACACCAAGCCGATACTACATGATGTTGTCATACCTCTCTCAACCGGAAATGGATGCAGAAGGAGCCGCCTACGTTCCTGCTGCCGTTGTGCCACAACTCAGGTATTTAGGTAGGTCGTGGCCGCTGCTGTTTTCAAGAAGGCACAGCCCTCTACCTCGTCGTTCGTTCTCGTGGTCGGTCGCGTGCAGCGTCTTCCTGGTTTCAAAGCATGGCCCCTCTCAAACCATCCACCATACTTACCACCGCATTGTCCCTTTTGAGCTCCTTCCAAGCTTCTCTTGTTGCAGCTGGCCCCGTTACTCGTCGCTCCGACCTTGTCGTCAAGGACTTCCATCCAGCTCCAAAGGCATGGTCAAATCTGGGGCCTGCTCCGGGTGAACATTTAATCAGGTTGACCATCGGCCTCTCTCAAAGTCGCTTCGGTGAGCTCGAACGGCACCTGTATGAAGGTACGAGATGTTGTGTTGGAGGCCTTCGTCACTAAAGCTGACCTGTGTGCAAGTCTCGGACCCGTCCCATTCGCGCTACGGCCAGCACCTGTCTGCTGAAGAAGTCCATGACCTTGTGAAACCATCAGATGAGACTTCCGCTGCCATCCATGGGTGGTTGCAGGAATATGGCGTCGATGTTGAGCAACTCACTTACAGCCCAGCCAGGGACTGGATCACTGTGTCCCTGCCCGTCTCGAAGATTGAGGATTTGCTGAACACGGACTACTCGGTCTGGGGACACTCTGACGGATCGACGCTCGTGCGTACTGAAGGGTATTCTCTCCCACACTACGTCCACAAACATATCAGCACGATCCAGCCAACAAACTCATGGGCCCGACTTGAGGGACACAAGAAACGAACCGAGATCAGGAAGCGCTCTTTAGTCACCAAGCGTGACTCCCATGTCCTCGAAGCTGCAGACACCTGGTCACCACCAGATTCGACTCCATTGCCCGCAAATTCTACTGTCTATGCCGCATGCAATTTCACCTCTGTGACCCCAGACTGCTTGAGAACCCTCTATGGCACCATTGATTACAAGGTCAAAGCAGCCGGGAAGAACAAGATGGGGCACACAAATTACTTGGAAGAGGCGACCAACCGCTCGGATATTAACATCTTTTTGTCCAAGTTTCGACCCGAAGCCGCTGCCTACGCGTACCAGTTCGAGGCCATCTCCATTGCAGGCGGTGTCCTAGACAATGGCACCAATGTCGCGGCAGAGGGCTTGGACAGGGAGGCAGACCTGGACGCTGACTACATGATTGGAATTGGTTATCCAACACCCTTGACGGCATATCACACCGGTGGGCGAAATCCATCGTTTATGCCCGACTTGGTGACCCCCACCAACACCGACGAGCCTTTCCTGGTCTGGGCCAATTACATGGCAGGGCTGCCGGATGACGAGGTACCTCAAGTCATTTCCACCTCTTATGGAGACGACGAGCAAACTGTCAGTCGATCTTATGCCCAAGCCGTCTGCAACCAATTCGCACAATTGGGAGCCCGAGGCGTGTCGTTGTTCTTTTCCAGTGGTGATTTTGGTGTCGGTAGTGATGGAGAATGTTTCAGCAACGCGGACAACACAACAGCCATGTTTCTTCCATCTTTTCCCACTGATTGTCCCTACGTCACCACCGTTGGAGCGACAACTGGCTACCCTGAATCTGCTGCTTGGAGGAAGTTGAGTTCTGGAGCTTATTTTACCAGTGGAGCGGGCTTCAGCAACTATTTCGACATGCCCGCCTACCAGGCCGAGACTGTAAACGCATATGTCGATGGTCTCGGAGGCCTCTACGATGGACTTTACAACAAATCAGGTAAGTCCTGATGGTCTTAAAGATATGGACCATAGTGGTTCGACTGGCTAATATATCATCCCTCCATCTAGGACGCGCCTACCCCGACATTTCCTGCATTGGACAAGTCTTCCCCATTACATGGAACGGCAGTACACTCAACCTCGTCGGCACATCTGGTTCCTCACCCATCTGCGCGTCCGTGTTCACTCTGTTGAACGACGCATTGATCTCCGAGGGACGCCCTCCCATGGGTTTCCTCAATCCTTGGCTGTACAAGTGGGGTCATACGTTGTTCACCGATGTCACGAACGGCACGTCTGCTGGTTGCAATACGACAGGATTTCCTGCGACCCCTGGGTGGGATGCGGTGACGGGATGGGGAACGCCGTATCTCCCGAAACTACTCGAGGCTTTTGGCTTGAAGTAAGCGTGCGGTCAATTGGGAGAAGTCTGTATATAGGCACTTACAAGAAAAAGAGTCACAGATGTGGTAATGAAGAATGAGCATGCATCAGCCTCCAGCTACTTGTCGTTACCCACCCTTCTTTTGGTCTTGGTAGCATCCATGTCGTCGTGTTACATATATCACGGTGGAGCCTCAACGCGAGCATAAACTCCAAAGGAGCTTCGGCCTAACCACTCTCCCTCCTGCTTAAGTCTCGGCGACGATCTCTCGTCGGAGCTGGCCGAAACATTTTCTCCATGGATAAGCGCGAACCCATTACTCATTGCCTCCCCATCCCACTGTGGGGTAAAATTTGATAAACAGCGTTGCATTCTCCGCGACCATCAAGACAAGAAAAGCCGATCGAGACCTTGCACGTCGGCGAGAGACGAGAAGGCATGGGTCTCTCATCAAGCAGGAGAAGGACATGATCCTCCCAGCGGAGGTCGAACCCTTTTCGCCCGGAGCACCTGGATTGCCGTCAGTCCTTGCCTCGATTGATATCCAACTCCCCGCTCAAGTCGCTCTCTGGTTTTCCGCCCTCGATTACTTTTGACGACTCTCGCTTCTCATCATGAAATACAAGCAAGCCATACCCGTCACCGTTTCTCTGCGGGACTTGCAATCCAACTCTGTCCCCTTCAGCACCCTCCTGGATGCCTTCGGCCCCGACAGCCTGGGCATCCTTGTCGTGACCGACCTCCCTTCCACTTTCCCCTCTCTCCGCCAAAAAGTCCTCTCCAATGCCTCGCGACTCGCGCACCTTCCTCCCCAGAAACTCCAGAACCTGACCAAGCCCAGCGCCAAGTATCTCGTTGGGTGGAGTCACGGCGTCGAAACCCTGAGACCTGGGGTGGTCGACACCGCGAAAGGGAGTTACTATATCAACTGCGCATTCTACAAGTCCCCGTCACTACAATCCGCGGACGGTGAAAAGTTCCCAGGCTTTGAGGAGTACACGGCGCCCAACGTCTGGCCCGAGGAGGCGGACGTGCCAGAGTTCAGGAGCGACGCTGAGGAGCTCATCCGACTGATCATCAACACAGCGGTGTTGGTCGCGAGGGCTTGCGATCGATTCGCCGAGCACGAGATCGACGGGTACGAGGCTGGATATCTCGAAAAGGTGGTCCAGGGAAGCGAGACGACCAAGGCGAGGCTCTTGCATTATTTCCCCACTGCACACGAGACGGGGAGTGGCAAAAGTGCGAACGTAGACTCAAATGGGAATCTGAACGGTGGGAATAATACGAACGGGTATTGTGTCTCTGTCTCGTCAGAGGAGCAGGAGAAGGCGAAGGCGAAGGACAAGCCAGAAATCGACGACTCCTGGTGCACCACGCACCTCGACCACGGGTGCCTGACGGGCTTGACATCAGCCATGTTCCTCGACGAATCCTCACCCTCTCCCTCTCCCTCTTCCTCGTCCTCATCAGCATCCGAGTACGCGGAGCTGCCCTCCTCTCCGGACCCGCAGTCAGGCCTGTACATCCTCTCGCGCTCGGGGCAGATCCACAAGGTCAGCATCCCGCGCGACGCGCTGGCCTTCCAGACCGGCGAGGCGCTCGAGCTCATCACGCGGGGCAGGTTCAAGGCCGTCCCGCACTTTGTCAAGGGCGTGGATCTCAACAACGTAGTCGCCGACGGTACCGACGGGACGCCCATGAGCAGGAATATCACCAGGAATACTTTGGCCGTGTTCACGCAGCCGAATTTGGATGAGCCCGTGGACTTGGAGACGGGTCTGACTTTTGGCGAGTTTGCGAGGGGTGTCGTGAAGCGGAATACTGCTGGCTAGGCGCGCGCGTGGAAACAATGAGAATCAGGTCTCAGGGCTCCAGGAGGAAAGTGGGATCAAGTTGTGTTAAGATATATGATTCTCTGTAGAGCAAAATCAATACCTGCTTTTGTTTCTCGTTGTTAACTCTGTCTGTTCAACTTCGGTAATCTGCCTTGCCCGTAGATTAATTTCATACGCATACCATATGTTTTGCTTTGCCTTGGATCATCTTGTTGGATAATTACCACAACCCATGTTCCCATTCTTGCTCAACAAGCTCGACCTCCCACACTGGACCACAAGCACCTGATCCCTGCAGAATCAGTGAAAAGTAAATGCTGTTGAATTCGCCAAACGCCGGCGACATGGAAGGCCAATCCAGTCGTCAGAATCCGTCAAAACGCCTTGCTCTAGAATATAGATAAGTTTCCGTGTCTGCCGCAAAATCTAGGTATCAAAGCATATTCAGCCGTACTTTTGTCAACCACGCAGAAAAGCCAAAAGGAAAGCCAGACGCAACGACATCGAACTCCAGGTTCAACTTGGCACCTTCGGGAATAATAGCAGGGGGAGTGCAAAATTTCCGTGGCAGAAGCGTGATTTCATCTGGCTGCCTCTGTCTGCGATCTTCGCGCGAACAAAGATAGAGATGCACTGTCACTGGCCACATGGGTGCCGTCGGTATCTATCCGGTCGAGATGATTGGTTTCGTGGTATGAATCTGCTTGGGACTGAGGCGTAGGAGAGCGTGACATGGTTTCGTCCCCGTCGCCCGCTTGCTGAATAGCTCGCAGTGTCTCGGGCTCCAGGTTCCGAATGGCGGTCATGACCAAGTCAATGTCAATATCGTCGTGCCGTTCCAGGGTTTCTTTGAGCCACTGCTCCCATGCCTGGTTGATGGCCGAAGGATCTCCTCTTAGGCGGGATTGCATTGCGTCACGTAGGAGGTCGATGAAGTCCTCTTCTGGTGCTGGCGAAGGAGTGTCCACATCTTTTGCCTTGTATTCTTCTTTCTCTGGGGTCGCTACCAGTGTCTCGCTGCACGAAGATGCTCGGTCAACAGAGGCTGGCCGGGAGAGATCTTCGAAGACTGCTCTGGGACCATTTCCGGGCAATGCCGCAACGACATCATCGGCTGTAGTAGTCCTGACTTCGACACCTGCTTCGCGTTCGTATCTTTCCTTGGCCGCTCTTGTTCCTTCCCATTGACACAGATTCAGGATTTCGTCCTCTGTCAATCCCAGTTCGTCGAAGACACGGAAAAGGCGTCTATGCCAGGGGTACCTTGATAGCCGACGGCGGTGAGGGGTAAAACTGTAGTCGAGCCCAGGGTATTGTGCTTCTAGGGTGTCAAGGGCGCCATAGAAGTTCTGTACTTCGACCCGGACTTCACCCACGATATGACGTTGGATATGAGCGTAGAAGGAGACTGGATCGCCTTGCTTCGGTTTGGGGAACGTCCTTTGGAAGATCAACTCTGGAATGGACGGTTTTCTCATGATGGTCTACGGTCTCCCCAGTTTGGGCCAGTCCACCTGTTCAGCTCAATTTTGCTTAGTCCTATGGCAAAGGCCAAACTTGAAACCTCAATATTTGCACCCAGGCCAAGCTTGTAGGAAATGTATTGGTCGTGTCGCAGGCAAGAGAATGGTGCGGTAGGTGGTGAGTAATCGGCTACCGACGTCTAGCGGGACCTACGTAGATGATCTTCAGGATCTTCGGAGCTCTGTTGAATGGCGTGAGCATAGGACGGGGTCGATTGAGATCGGGGGACTGCGCTGTTTTGTAGGGAAAGGCAGGCGGGATTGAGGCAATAGGATTCAGCGGGAGGTAGTAACAAGGAGGTAAGGGGGAGGAGGCAGCTGCTCAGGAAGTATCGCTGGAGACCAGGCGGAGTTCGTATGATAATGAGGGGATTGTTGAGGTTTTGACGCTTCTTGATGGAATTCGAAGGAGTCCGCTAGATTCTTGGTCGGTGGTCTTGTTCCTTTGGAGCCTTCGGGGCGGCAAGGATCTCGGTTTTAGCTTCAGGTACCACCAGTGACCACTAACCAGACTGCGCAGGCGAACAGGCTTTGCAGGCTCCTGGAACCCCGCCGCTGACGAGACTTACTGAAGAACGGAGTGACCGCCCAATATCTCGGAGTCCAGGCGTCAACTGACACAACCGACGCCAGCTTGGATGTTTCGACTTTTTGAAAATGTCACCGACCCTGCCTAATTATATACTTGTTAATCACTTGCCGACAAAAGAGCGGGAACCTGTTTGCGGCCCCCCCCCTTCCTAGTGAAGCGCAGCCAAGGGAAAGAGAAGAAAGAGAATAGGGATTTGAATGCGAATCGACGTTGAATTGGGTCCAGATTTGCCAGCACTCGGTGCGTTGGCACATACCGATGCACTGAGACGTCGTTTGGCCTTGATCATCCCTCCTGTTTGCTGCTTCCCTTCTCCTTCACCTGAATCAGGTCCAGGGCGACTGGGTCTGCCACATCACCATTGATCCAACCGGGCAGATTTGGCCTTCCACACCTCGAACCACAGTCACGTCCTCTATCACGACCAAACCCGCTTTTCGCCTTTGGCGGTTTTCCTGTTTGTCAGGTGGCCAGGTCAGCCCATGCATGACCCTGACGCCTGGGTTCGACCTTCGTCAAGTGGACAAATAGGCGGCAAGCTTTTGCGCCATTGCCTGTGCGTGGCCACTCTACTTCCAATCCTCTTTTGGCCTGCCTTTCCGATACGACAAGCTACTGGCAGCCCCTCCTTCGCTCGAAAGTGCCTGCAGGTGATGACTGCCGTTGGCCAGGATCTCTTCCGGGCAGCCTCTTGACTGGTCGCCCTTTGCGAGGTCACCCCACGGATATGCCCCATCGCCTTGGAACCTCGTCGGAGCCTGTGGGGTAACAGCGGGCTAGATCTACAGCCTTGCAGTCGAGGTATGTGGCGCGAGAGGTAAACTGGTTGGCACTATTCTGGGCGTCATTGGCCAATATGTCAACGTTCAATGGCCTTGTCAAGGAATTTCCCAACATCAGAATCGACTACTTCAGGCATCATCCAGGAAGGCCACCGCCTGCTGCGTATTTTCTCAGTCATGTCCACAGCGACCACTTACTCGGGTTAGAGTCGGTCAAGATGCCGTTCGTATATTGCTCGGCCACAACTAAACGTATCCTGCTTAATATGGAAAAGTATCCCCATCGCATCAACTTTGCAAAAGGCATCCTTGAAGCACGCAAGCAACACTATCGGCATCTGAAAACTGTCCTTCGAACACTTCCGATGAGCACCGCTACTGAACTCGAGCTCGGTCCAAAATCCACCATTCGAGTGACCTTGCTGGATGCGAACCATTGCCCTGGTGCGGTCATGTTCTTGATCGAAGGCGAGGACAAGGCCATTCTTTACACAGGAGACATCAGAGCTGAATCTTGGTGGGTGAATTCAATTGTGCAGAACCCCGTTTTATTACCGTATGCTTGCGGCTTGAGACATCTTGACTGCATCTATCTTGATACCACGTTTGCCACTCGTGAGGAACCATACAGCAACTTTCCCACCAAAGCCGAAGGGTTAAAAGAGCTTCTTGAGAAAGTGAGTCAGTGCTCTCCGGAAACTACATTCTACTTTCGGGGGTGGACTCTAGGCTACGAAAATGTTTGGATCGCCCTGTCCAATGTTTTGCAATCCCGTGTCCATGTGGACGAATATCAATTTCGGATATTTGGCAAGGGGCTCGAAGATGCTGGTAACAATGAGAGTGCTGCACTAACAGGATTCACCGTCGGCAACAGTCAGCTTCCAGGTTGTTTCACTCTGGATAACACTGCGAGGATTCATAGCTGCGAACCTGGATTGAAGTGTCACTCAGAGATCAAACAGATGAAGAACATCAAGTGGATTACTCCGATAATTTCGAGGCTCAAAGATGGAACCGAGATCAGAGAGCTAGGAGCTGGAGGAGGAGCGAGAGACCTCTATCCGATGTCTGAATTGAAGCTGGAGGATCGAGCATCCTTTCAACAGCTTTTGGATCTCTTTGCATCTTCCGTGGACGACAATTCATTGAAGTCAAAAGTATTCCAGGGCCTTGGTCATTCCGGTATGACACGAGATTGGTCTCTGGCGCTTGAAGGACCTGATGAGCTAAAAGTAGACCAGAATGGTCATATACGACTGGAAGATTTTGTGCCCTTCCTTTCGAACAGATACAAGGAGACAGACCCTTCGGGTCTACAGCTCATGTGCTCCAATCGAGAGTCAAGACCTCAGATGGACGCAAACGATACCATACACTTTCCATATTCTCGCCATTCCTCATATAATGAGCTTCGTCATTTTGTTGGGCTATTTCGACCAAGAGATATCTGCCCCTGTACTGTCTGCCCGGAAACTTGGTCCGAAGAGCTCAGCATGCAAGCACTTTTCGGAGATCTCTGTGCTGACCAAAGGTTCTACTTTGATCAAGAGACTCGAGAACTAGTCGAAAAGTCGAAAGAGGAGGAGAGTCTCAGCAGTGCTGCTGGCGGTAAAAGGAAACGAGGAGATGACGATACTCAGCAGACGGAATCCCAGGATACGAACCATAATGACGGCGTGAGTGTAGGCGAGGACGGGGAGGCGCTACAACCCCCCAAGAAGGCTACTAAGCTCAGAGATGCCGCGCCGGATGAAGAGGGCAGCAACCAAGAACAGCGTGAGTTAAGCCCCACCAGTCTTCCCAAAGTCGATGCAGTATTCCGCCAACGCGACGGGAGCATCGACGGGGATTCTTTGGGAGTAGACGACTCTGACGGGGAGTCCTTGTCCCCTTCGGCGTTTGACGGTCAACCGGGGGACCAGTTGGTCCTATCTGATGAAGATGTCGAAGAGCAGTCCTCTGGAGTTGAACTAGACTGTCAAGGCGTGCACAAATTGGGAAGCCGGCCCCTCGACGCAGAAGATACGCTGGAACGGAGGCAAGAGAGATTGTGGGCGTACAAGGCTGCGAAAAAGTGCCTAGTACACAATGACAGCTCGGATTGGGAGGCGATGCCCTTGAGGAGCGTCGGCCACATTGGACATGACAGCGAGGAGATTGAGCTGTAACTTGCAAGTTCTATCCTCGGGGGAATTGGTAATGCGGTGTAAGGAGCAAGTAGGAGTATATATACGTAGCGATATATTCACTATAAATTTCAAGCTAGCCCTGTTTGGCCTGTGCCTGCCCTGTGCTCGGCCTTAACAGACTCGGATGCTGTAAAGACCGAAAGCACGCCAATTGGCTACGCGTACGAATCACTCCAGCTCGGTGCTCGAACCCCCATTGTTGACGCCATCTTGATTTCCTTCGACGACTCACAATCCATTTTCTATCTTTCTCTGCCGCTTCTTTTTATCACCTCATTCACTTCCAAGTCTCCGCTACCATGCTTGCCAGATCAGTCCTGAGGTCCTGCGGCCCTCTTCGCCAGGTAGGTGACCTTATTCATGTCCAATACCTCGTGGGCACCATCCACAACTTCCACAATGGACATGATGCCTCATCTTCAAGCTTACAAATGAACTCACGCCTCGTCCATACACACAGAATTTCCGCACATACGCAACCGAAGCTCAAAAATCGTCCTCCTCGTCGACACCTTGGATCGTGGGTGCCGCTGCAGTCGGCGCAGGCATCATTGGTTACAACTACCTAGGATCCAGCAGCAAGACTGCCAAAACCGACGCCCCCACGCCCTCCGAGGATGCGAAGAAGATGGAACAGCAGGGCCCTGCACCTGGGAAGACCTTTACGGGTGGCGAGCAGGGGTTCATCGATTTGAAGCTCGCCGAGATCATCCCATATAACCACAATACCAAAAGGTTCAAGTTTGAGCTTCCGGATAAGGAGCATGTGAGCGGGTTGAACGTTGCTTGTAAGTCGAACGACGTCGAAGTGTACACGGTCGATCGTGGTCATTGATTGTCTCGAAGCTGCCATCATTACAAAATTCAAACCAGCCGACCAAGAAAAGCCGGTCATTAGACCATACACGCCCATCAACGATGAAGGTAACAATCCCGTTCCCACCAACAGTCTCCGCTCAACTCACGCGCTCCCACAGACGTGAAAGGCTATCTTGAACTCCTGGTTAAGGTCTATCCCAATGGGCCAATGTCCGAACACCTCCACAGCATGAAGCCAGGCGAAACCCTCTCCTTCAAAGGTCCCATCCCGAAGTATCCCTGGGCGCCAAACAAACACGAGCACATCACGCTTATCGCCGGCGGCACGGGCATAACACCAATGTACCAATTGATCCGCACTATCTTCAAGAACCCCGACGACAAGACCAAAGTGTCGCTCGTATTTGGAAACATCAAGGAAGAGGATATCCTGCTCAAGCAGGAATTATCGCAGTTGGAGAACGAGTTCCCTCAGCGGTTCCGGTGCTTCTATACCTTGGACAACCCGCCTGAGAGCTGGCCGTACGGCAAAGGGTTCATCACCAAGGAGTTGTTGAAGGAGGTCATCCCAGATCCGAAGAGCGAGAACATCAAGATCTTTGTATGTGGACCTCCGGGTATGTACAAGGCGATCAGTGGTGCGAAAATATCTCCCCAAGATCAGGGCGAGTTGACCGGCATCCTAAAAGAGTTGGGCTACACCAAGGACCAGGTGTTCAAATTTTAGACTTGGGGGAAAGACAAGTGCCGAAACAAGGAGAGGAATGGTCGAAGAACCCGACGCCAGGAAAAAGAATAAACAGGCAGGTAATGCCGCAAGAAAACGTGTACAACAGTCACCTAAAGTCTTGTACATATAGAGGACCACCAAGAAGAGACTTCGCTTAACCAGAGGAGTCAGTCCAACCCTGCACAAAAAAAAAAGGCAAAACTCAAGTAGATTCTCAATGAGAACTTTTTTTGGGAGATTATTATGTCGAAGTGTGACCCTTATTTACTGTTGCCGTCTTGCCTCCAGAGGTGAGAGTCTTGATTTAGGTATGAATATCCTCCGTACGACGAGGACTTTTCCTGCTTGCCTCCCCAGAACTCTGTCCCGGCGTCTCGTAGGCATAGGTAGGTACTTACCTAGCTACTTGCTTAGGTCCTTGCTTGGTTGGTTAGCCAGGTCCCCAGGGCCGTCGAGAGTATGGAGTACGAACCTATGCACACATATACGGAGAATGTATGCACTGGGTCCTCTAAGTCCCCGCTTCATCTCTTCCCCTTCTCGCCCACTCCTCCCCCCAACCGCGTTCTATCAGATCATTGATGGATCACTCCTCGGGAATGAGGAACAGGGAGCTAAATATATATACCATGCATCGTCTGGCACTGGGACAGATTAGGATGTAGTTGACTGTCCAGCACGGTCGGTTCCCTCATTCGCGCGGAAGGTGTCTGATGAGCGCTCTCTGTCTCTCCTTCGCGAACACTGGTTTCCGCGACGGGGCCGGGGGGTAGTGAGGCAAAGTCGAATCTTGTCAAAAGGGTCCTGGGTATGGGTCCTATGTAGGCGCGTAGATCATCGATGAGACATTCCTTAAAAAGGGTAGCTAGGACATCGAGCCCGTGTTCGGACAGGACATCGAGAATAGCATAGAGACTGAAAGAGAGAGACAGAGAGGGAGAGGGAGGGAGGGCGTAGCTTGGTCGACTTCCGTTTTCTTCTCACGCTCACTCAAGTGGTTCTTTTCGGGGGGAGTAAGAGGTTTCCCCAACGAATAATTCTTAGGCTTGGGTTGGTTCTGAAATCGTCTCTGGCCGTTGTGTAGTCCCACGTCTATGACGGCAGAAGTTGAATCTGAAGCGGTTATGTCTGAGTATCTCGTCCTCTTCACCAACGGCCTTTGCATTATTTTGTTTTTGGGGTATTAACAAAGTTTTAGCGTCGCTGGGAATGGTGGGTGGTGGGTATTAGCATGAACCAACATGAACCTACGAAGTATAGATAAAAGTGGCAATGTTACTATCAATGCCGTGAAGAGTGACAGCTGTTGCCCCAGATGAACAGGCGCGAAAGCTCAGCCTTGCGCGGGGTCCAGACTAGTTATGATCAAGCCTTGTCTGGTAGCTCTTGAATTGAATCCGCCAATGATGCCAATAGCGCAGCGGAGTTTGAGAGGGCGTGTACTCACCAAAACTCCCATGTGCTTTCTCAACAGTCGAGCCCGAGTGCGAGCGCCGACATAGAGCAGGCGCGCCAGTTTCGTTAGGTAACAGTCCGAGTACTCAAAGATCATATCTGCACGCGTCTGTCAAACAGTCTACTACATAAGCTGTGCGGTATCATTGATACACACTAACGGGTTCATATTGTTGAATTGAGTGATACACATGGATCTTTTTGAACATGATATGAAGGTTTCTGGTGGACCTGGAAGGAGCTTGTCAGGCCTAAGAAATGATTAACACAGAAGGGGAAGAAACCCGTGTGGCTCTGTGGTTTTATGTTATCTTCATACAAGCCTAATGTTTTTATTTTGAATGACCACCGAGTTTAAGCAGAAGAGTTTCTTGTTCAGTCAGAACCGTCGCGTGTAGGTGCTTTGATGCAGGTGCAATTGGAACCACAGGCTTGCTCTGGAGCAAGGGATTGTTTCATGGAGAAAGACACTTTGGCGCCCAGATCAGAGCCGTGTAGAGAAGCCGTTCGAGAATGAAAAGAATCTAGCTGGACTGCATTCGACGACCTGAGGTCCAGGCGACGGTGGGCAAAGCAAGACCAGGTCAAGGTCGCCCGGTTATGCTCCCTAGCCATTTGTATACCTTGCTCTTGCCATCAGTACCAAGTACAATGGACTTACCGGGTAGTGGCATGCCTGTGATGAAGTGCCCGGAGCAGTGGCACCAGTGGCTCCTCAGCAAACTGTCAAGCTGCGGACTGGCCGTGGGAGCGAGGCACTGGAGGGGTGCAAAAGTGCCGTCGCCATTCAGGTGTGATGGAGATTGGAGACAACCACCTGGCAACGCCACGAAGGCCTAGCGAGCCGGAAGTAGAAGGACAAGAGTGCCTGGGGGAGCTGCCGAGGTCGGGCTTGTGGGATGGTGAAAGCCACGAAACAACAGGCATGACCGGGGCGTCGCCAGCCATGACCCGGCTCTGGCGGGTCGTTTGACGGAGTGATATGCCTGGGACGCCCAAAAGGGACAGTGAGCGGCGACCGCTGTCAGGCCCTGATTTGTCGGAGGGGCGCTGATTCTTTGGGGCTTCCAAAGCAACAATCTTCGTGACAGTCACCATTGCTGTCAACTGAAACTGAGAGAGTCGACTAGGCGCTGACCCGGGGCCTTTCAGCCTGAAGCAGGTCAGTCAGACAGGCTCGAAAATTTCCTAGGTAGGCGGCCGCCCAGAAGCGCTTATGCAGCTCCGTGGGGCGCTGATGATCAGAATTGCGAGTCCAAGGCCATGCAAGGTGGTCAGGGTGGTCTGACTGGCAGTTGCTGCGCTGCCCTCTTCCAGCGATCCCGGAGCTTGCCAGCTTAAGCTTTGCAGTGGCATTTCAGAGGTGCCCATCCATCTTGCTCGGTGTTGTGTTGCCTACCAGCCTCCCTCCACTCTCTGGTGCCAATGCCTGTCATTGTGCTCCCACCGCCGCGCAGCCGCTCGCTATGGCCTTCTTGGTTCCATACGGCGATCTCTTTTTGAGGAACAGGAGTGCCAGGGTTCTGTCTGAGAAGCTGTCCTCGCAGAATCTCTGTCCCGAGCAGACCGGACGGTGAGGAAGGCGAAAAGCATAAGCAACAATTTGCATCTGTCAGACTGGCGCCGAAATGGTCGAGTAGAGGGAATGGCAGCGCGCTTGCAGCACGAGGATTTGGGGAATGCACTGCTTGTAGAGCGTCCCAGACCGATGAGTCGTTTCTGGGAGAAGCTTCGTAACATGCATACCCAGATCACAGACAGGGCAATGGCGCCTCTCTGTTCGGCAGTGAATCGATGGCTGGGTTCTAAATGCAGAGCACAAGTCCAGCAGGTGAGCCTAGGCTAGGCTGTTTTAGCTTGCAGGAGAAGCAGGGTCAAGCAGGGTTGAAGGGGGGAAACAAGCCCAGGTGTTGCAGCAGGAAAGGTGCCCTTTGGACCCGGGGGCGAATAACACTGAAGTCTACAAGCTTAGAGCCGGCACAGTGCAGCAGCTTCAGAGAGGCAGGTCCCAATAGGAGCCAATTAGACCTTGGGAAGGCACCCTTAGCGGCGCGACAGTGGAGCTTACAGGACACCGAAACAAGCACCGTACAGAGAGCATCCCGGCATCCTTAGAGGACGAGCAGAAGGAGAGGGAGGGAGGAGAGGGGGGCTTAAAAAAAAGAGGGGGGGAGCTACCAGGTGGCCGTGATCAATCCTCCCGCAGCTGCTGTTTTTTTTTCCTCTTCCTCTTCCTCTGGGTTGATCCAGCGGCTGCCCATGCACCCTGCTCGCCCACTTAAACAGGCCCGCCCCCCAGCTGCCCTCGCCCTGCCCCCATTTTCCTTTCCTTTCTGCATCTCCCAGCTCTCGCACCTCTCGCTTTCTCTCCCACACTGCCTTCTGGCTTCACGCTTCAGGCTTCACTTCCCGCCACCCATCCTTTAGTTAAAGCTCAGCCTTGCAACCTCCCATCGCCGTCGCTTATAGGCGCCCATATTGTTGGTTGCTCATACCCTTAGCATAGTTGCCAGCTATTTGGGTGAAAGACGCCATGGCAAAAAAGACACACGACCCCGAGTCTGCAACGACCCAGGTCAATATTGCTGATTTCCAGCGAACCCGAGATTCGGTACGTGCATGATTTTTTTCTGTATATTCGCTTGTTTTGTCTTTCTGCCTCACCGTCCACAACACGCGTCCAATCCTCAACCCCGCGACGAGGCTTTGCCCCAACTCGCTTTCAACCACAACACCCACCTCGCTGTTGCTCCCCGGGTACATCCACCTTACCGTCGCACACAATCTCCAACCTTTGTAGCACATCTCCCCAGCTCCATGTTTCATTACCTTTGCCATGTCTTCAAGCTCAGGTCTAGTCGACATCAATGCTGAGCGCATTGAGTTCGGGCATCTGTTGAACCGTGCATCCATCAGATGCGTTGAGGTTCTCACTGAAGATTTGGCGGTCCTCCGCAAGTTGATTCGCGAAGTGCGCAATGACCCAATACCATTTACTCACACATACCCCCAGGTCATTGTTGCTCTTGCAACACTCCAATCCTCGGTTCAAGACCTTTCGCGCGCCTACATTCAACATGCCAACACGGTCCTGACACCTGGCAAACATGGCCTGAACCCCATTGACGCCAACCTCACCAGCATCCTTACCGAATCTGGTCTCTTGAGCGCTCGGCCTGCCGATGCTGCTCCTGCTGCTGCACCCGAACCAGAACTCGATGGGAAGAAGAAGCGCAAGAGGACGCCCCATGATCCCAATGCCCCGAAACGCGCTCTCACCCCGTACTTTCTCTACATGCAAAGCGCTCGCGCCACTATTGCGAAGGAATTGGGCGACTCAGCCAAGCCAAAGGAGGTTGCAGATGAGGGAACCCGCCGATGGACTGAGATGAGCCCTGCCGAGAAGAGCGTACGTATTGAGCTAACTGTTTTTTTTTTTTGGCTACCGGCATTGACTGACCACCCGCGCAGATTTGGGATGACAAATATCAGAAGAACTTGGCCGCATACCGCGTCAAGATGGCAGCCTATAAAGCTGGTCAACCCGTCCCTGACGACGAAACTGCAGCGCGCCTAGTGGAGATGGGCAAAGCTCCTGAGCACATTGCCGGTATGGATGCCGAAGCAGAAACGGAAGAAGAGCCTGTTGAGGAGGAAGAAGAGGAAGAAGAGGAAGAAGCCCCAGCTCCGGAACCAACACCTCCCAAGTCTAAGAGACGTAAGACCAAAGATGCCGAACCTACTCCTAGCAAAGCAACCCCTAAGGCCGAGGCCAAGTCTCCAGAGAAGGATAGGAAGTCGAAGAAGAGCCGGAGGGAGGCCGCTGCCCCTGCATCAAACAAGCCCGAGAAGTCCAAAAAGTCGAAGAAGTAGGAGCACTGAGGAAACAGGGTTCTGCGGGGGTTGTATGGATATGATCATTCGCTACGGGTTTCGGTTCCGGTCTAGGAATTTTTGATTTCAGGGACTCAACCCTCGCTGTCATGAGTTGTTCTGCTGTCATGGAATGTTCATAATGAAAGGCCGTCCCTGGTCGGCGCAGTGAAGCAGTTTCGAGCGCTATGCAAAGGGCCGAGTAACTAGTCTATCCAATGTCATGAAATGCTGAAATATCTCCTGAAGGCTGCTCCATCTATGCCTTGCCCTGCCTGCCATCCATGATATCTCGTCGCAGCCCTTTTCTGAATGACGCACCAGGCCAAAACAAAGTTCCTGTCTCGGTTCCTTCTCCGCACTGATGCCCCAATGCATGTGGTTAGAGAGTTTGCTACCATTAAGGCGTGCAAATGAACCACTCGAAGAGCTCGACAGCGTGGACCGGGGTTCACTGCTTATCCAGACAGAACCTGCCTCATGCCACTTCGAGCTCTTCCTTTGCCCCGCATCACCCCTCGACCATGATAGGACGGACGGACATAGATAAATATCAGCGCCTTCTCGATGGGACAGGGACGAATTTCTTCAGAAGCTGAAGTTCTAGCTTGCCACTGCCTCTAGGACGGATCGGTGTCAAAGATGCAGCTCGTTCCGAAAGAGGTATGAATGTTAATTCTCCGTGGGCGACCATCGCCTGAGAAAGCCTGGCACTGATTTCGTCTACTCCTGGGACAGCTAGATAAGCTCGTTATATCTCAGCTGGGCTTCCTGGCCCAGAGAAGACTCGCGAGAGGGGTTAAGCTAAACCATTCAGAGGCTTGCGTGAGTGACTCGCTGGAAGACGACCTCAGGAATATGGACTGATTGGCGCGGTAGGCTCTGATTGCCAGCAATTTACAAGAGGTATCGTCAAGAGCTCAAGAACCATGGTGATATACCCTAATGACCGACTACTCTAGCTGATTCGCGATGGAAACCACACAGTTGCCGACCTCATGTCCATCGGCAAGACCATGCTCGGTCGACGACATGTTCTGCCTTCTGTTGTCTCAACCTTGACCGAGTTGCAAGTCGAGGGTACCTTTAAGACTGGCACATACCTGGTCACTGTCCACCACCCGATCAGTTCCGACGATGGAGACCTTGAAAAGGCACTCTATGGAAGTTTCCTTCCTGTGCCGTCGAAAGATGCATTCCCACTGCCAGAGGCAAGTGAGTATGACAACAAGAAAATGCCCGGTGCGGTCATCCCCGTCAAGGAAGGTAGGATTACGTTGAACGAAGGACGGAAGAGAATTCGATTGAAGATCACTAGCAAGGGGGATAGACCAATACAGGTATTGACAAGTCCCAGCTCTGCCCAGGATATCTCCAAGGCTGACCATCTCACTCCGCAGATCGGGTCTCATTATCATTTTATTGAAACAAATCCACAACTAGAGTTCGACAGAGGCAGAGCTTACGGTTTCCGTCTCGACATCCCAGCGGGTACTTCGGTCCGTTTCGAGCCCGGAGACGCCAAAACTGTCACGCTGGTCGAGATTGCAGGCAACAAAGCGATACACGGCGGGAACAATCTCGCTTCTGGTCCCATTGATGTATCTCGTGCAGAAGAAATCGTACAGAAGCTTCAACAGGCCGGATTTGCACACGCACCTGAACCTGCCGGTGACTTGGCCCATATAGACGTGGCCTCTATGACCCGTGCAGACTATGCCGGCATGTTCGGTCCCACAACTGGTGATCTTGTCCGACTGGGGATGACAGATCTCTGGATCAAGGTCGAAAAGGACATGACGGTTTACGGTGACGAATGCAAGTTTGGTGGCGGCAAAACTCTTCGAGAGGGGATGGGGCAAGCATCCGATCGGAAGGATGCCGATGTGCTCGACACGGTTATCACTAATGCCCTCATCGTCGACTGGTCTGGCATCTACAAGGCCGATGTTGGAATCAAAGACGGCATCATTGTGGGCATCGGCAAGGCTGGCAACCCGGACGTCATGAACGGTGTTCATCCCAACATGGTTGTCGGCAATGGCACCGATACCATTGCGGGCGAACACAGCATCCTCACTGCCGGAGGTATCGACTCCCATATTCACTTGATCTGTCCTCAACAGGTATATGAATCCGTCGCAGCCGGCATAACCACCTACCTAGGAGGTGGCACCGGCCCCAGTACAGGTACCAACGCGACGACCTGCACGCCCGGAAAATGGCACATGAAACAGATGCTTCAAGCGATCGACTCACTTCCCATCAACTACGGTATCACAGGTAAAGGAAACGACAGCTCCCCTGTTGCCCTCCGTGAGCAATGCGAAGCTGGTGCTTGCGGTCTCAAATTACATGAAGACTGGGGCACGACTCCCGCCGCAATTGATACCTGTTTATCCGTGTGCGATGAATACGACGTCCAATGTCTCATTCACACCGACACGCTCAACGAGTCCGGCTTCGTGGAATCCTCTGTCGCTGCTTTCAAGGGTCGAACCATTCACACATACCACACCGAGGGTGCCGGTGGCGGACACGCACCCGATATAATCTCCGTAGTTGAACATCCCAATGTGCTCCCTTCGTCGACCAACCCCACAAGGCCGTACACGAGGAATACACTGGATGAGCACCTCGACATGCTGATGGTCTGTCACCACCTTTCCAAGAACATCCCGGAAGACGTCGCCTTCGCCGAGTCCCGCATTCGCGCAGAGACCATCGCGGCAGAAGATGTGCTCCACGATCTCGGCGCGATTTCTATGATGTCCTCCGATTCGCAGGCCATGGGCCGCTGCGGCGAAGTGATCCTTCGCACATGGAACACGGCGAACAAGAATAAACAGCAGCGTGGAACGCTGAAAGAAGACGAGGGCACGGATGCGGACAATTTCCGGGTCAAGAGGTACCTGAGCAAGTATACGATCAATCCGGCCATCGCGCAGGGGATGAGCCACTTGTTGGGTAGTGTCGAGGTGGGAAAAGTGGCAGACTTGGTACTCTGGAAGCCGAGCATGTTTGGCACGAAGCCCAGTTTGGTGGTTAAAGGGGGAATGATAAGTTATGCGCAAATGGTAATGTCCCCTCCTTTTCGCCTCACCCTTTTTTTTTTTTTTTTTTTACTGGCCCTCAGCCTCGTCCAGCAAGCTAACGCCAATTCTCACAAAAAGGGCGACCCCAACGCCTCCATCCCCACCGTGCAACCAGTGCTCATGCGGCCCATGTTCGCAGCGCACGTACCTTCCAGGAGCATCACATTCGTGTCGCAGCACTCGCTAGCCTCAGGGGTTGTGGCCTCGTACAACCTGTCCAAGCGCGTCGAGGCCGTCAGGGGCTGCCGCACCGTCAGTAAGAAGGACATGAAGTTCAACGACGCCATGCCCAAGATGAAGGTCGATCCCGAGTCGTACAGGGTCGAGGCCGACGGCATTCTCTGCACCGCCGCCCCTGCTGAGGTGGTACCCTTGGGCCAAACGTATTTTGTTTACTGATTGGTACGTCTGGAGTATATCTGTATGTACTGCTCTGAACTGTCCGTCTTGTCAGGAAGGGGAGAGAAGAGAAGAGGGTGACGAACGAAAAGGTCCGAATTAACTATGAGTGTGTGGTTAGAGATGGCTGTGAATGAGCGTCAGCATTGTTGAGCGCCGGGACGCCGGGACGCTCGGGCGCTTGCTTGCCGGCCTGCTTGCTCGCTCGTCCCCTCCTCCCCTCCCTGCCTGCGCCAAAGCCACCACGGGAAGAAACCCAATAGGACTACCTCGTACTCGGTACCCCCCGTGACAGTCCATACATTGATTCCTCACGAGTATCTATTCAAGTAGAGGTCGAGTGAAGCACCGTGCTCGAGCGCCGCAACCCCCTGTTCTTGTTTCGAAGAAGCCTAACTTAGGCGCATAACTCCATTTACCAACATAATAACAGATATAATAACAGATGACTAATTAATACTCCGTACGGTGTCCTATGGTCCCCGATTTGGAAACTGCCCACATCTGGGGCGTGATTGTGGACCTAGAAGGGCCTGCGCAGGTTTAATGCTGGACTGAGGGCGCTATATTGTGCCAATACAAGTACAATTTACATGCGCAGTCCGAGCGAGGAGGTATATGACAAGCGCAATGTGATTGGTCCTCATACATGGCTTTAGGGCGCGGCCTAGGATCGTCTGTCTTGGATTTACCACCGATTGGTTTTCATCTAATATAGCTGTGAGCAAGCTAACCATGTCCAGCTGCGAAGCTATCTAGGTCGTAGTAAAAACAGACCATATATTCCAAGAAAAGAGCAGCCGCGCCCCATTTGCGGGTGCCTGACCGCCTTGGCAGGCGGGTGATCAAGTGAAAAGAGATGTTTGTACGTTCTCGGTCCGCAAAACAGAATCGTCATCCACCCAAAAACGCCCGCATGCAGCAGGCTCTATCCTTTGGTTACCATCCCGTATTCGTCTCATTATTCGTATGGCACCTTGTCCTCGTCAATCCGAGCGGTCGTTTGTGGTCGTCATGTCGTGGTATCTGCCGCCGGTTTACAGGCATCCAGTCAAGGCCTCAAACCATTGCTGTGAAGTTGCCACGAGCAGTTTGACTCCGTTGGCGCTCAATGGGGCTCATCGGGTCGGCGGTCGGGTATTTTCGCCCTTGCACGCCCGTTACAGTGGCGATCCTGGGAGCCGGTTGCACAGGTCGTCTCTGCGCATTTCCTCGCTCCCAATCTGAGGAGCGATGCCTGTTATCACTTCCACTGCTACTCTCTCGCGTCAGTGGTTCGAAGTTTGTCTGGTCCGGGTAACGAATTGATGGCGCTCGTGGGTCAAACTGCGCCTGCGCATTTTCTGGGATGGGTGTCGCAGGAGTTGGGCTGGGCACCTCATCCCAGAGTGTCTCACGCCATTGCGGTGGACGGCCTCCCCCATAAGGCTGTTGAGATGGTTGAGGCGGGGGCTTGATTGCACGAGGTGGGTAATACTCCGGCCGCGATGGTTGCGAATGTTTGGATCCAGGGCCAGGTGCGCGGTAACCTGCATCTGATGAATGACGGCGTTTGTGCGACGATCTCATGAAGGAAGGCACCCATAAAGAGGAGCGACGACTCTTCCGATCTTCGTCGGATCTACGATGATGCCGACCCATCTGCGAGGTCTCTGAACTTGCTTCGCTGCCAGTGTCTTCGTCCACAGTTGAGGGAGTGCGTGCGGGAGAACGGTAATGCATGTTGTTGTAACCGGACGATGGCCGTCGTCCGGGCTGCTCGGTCGGGCCAGTCCCCTGTCTCGGGTTTGAGGGGCTATTTGACGAGGTCTTATGGTGGCCAGGAGGAGCGGTCGTTGTATGCGACCGCTGGCGCGGTGAAGCTCTTGGCGATGATCTTTGAGCAGAGTGGCTCCGGGTCTTTCTCGCCTCATGCTGACTTCGCGGATCTCCTCTCTCTCCCGACGGTGAAGGGAAATCTGGCACACTGCTCCGTCTGCGATAGACATCACCCAGAAGATCTTGATCGTCGCGAGAGCTGCTGCGCGAAGGCCTTGCCGGGCGTCCTGTGTGGGCGCCGGAGAAATAGCCTTCCCGTCGATCGTAGGGTTCAAGATGGGGGGATTGATAAGGCGAATTCTTGATGCGCCGCAAATTGTAGTTCTGCTGGTTCAGTTTGCCCGTCACCATCTTGTGCCATCTCTCCATCTCTTCGTCTGGTCTATCTGGGAAAACCTCCTTGGGGATGTATTTTGGATAGGTGCCGCCATTGGGCATCGGGATGTTCCACAGCTGGACCGCTTTCCGAAGGAAGGCGACGTTTTCCTCGGGACAGAGAAGGAGCTGGATCGTTTGCCAACGAGCAAAGCCAGTAGGCGTCAGGCATGGGATTCGGGGTGTTTCGAAGGGACTCGCAGTCGGCTGCAGAGAGTGAAAGCACCCGAGGGTTTGGTACATGAAGGAGAGGGCGTGATCGGAGGATTTGAGGAAGAGCGAGTCATAGTTGCCGCCGACGGTTCTGTAGAAGGTGGCTAGACGTGACGGGGTGAGTTCATTGTCAGGTCCCGGCTCGAGGGTCGCCTGTCCTCCCATTAGCAGGTTGAATTTGACGTGCCACTTTCTGGGCTCACCACGACTTTGGCAATCCCCAGGCATAGCTGCTCAAACTGGAGGGTTGCGCTTTTGTCTGGGTTGATGAGATATCTCCAAAACCCAGCCGTGGAACCCGCAGTCTGGTTAGGTTCCATCAGTGTGATGAAGAGCAGTTGATGCTGCGGACAACCACAGCAAGGATCTTCTTGTCTGATATTCCCGTTGAAGACGCTCTCATGGTCAGGCCGCCCACCCACACGATTGTAAGAACGATACTGAGTACTCGGCAGAGAGGTAGGGACGTAGGAGCGGCACAGAGGACGAGGCTATGTGAGAGTCAGGTTCGACGTTCGGTCGCGATGGACCAAATGGCAGAGGTTCGAGACAATCTGGATGAAGGAGAGGAAATGGGGCGATTTGAGCGCGGCAGGAGGAGTCGGTGGTTAGTGAAGGGGTCCCCAAGAGCTGTGTGAATGGATGTGGATTTGAATCAATAGAGAGAGGATTGTGGGAGAATTCATGCAAGCTCCCGGGTTGTTGGTTTGTTCACCGCTTGACTTGACTTGTGCCACTGCCACAACGGTTTGAATGGTCACCCCCGCGACATTGTCGTAGCCTTCAAGCTTGCGGATTTCTTGGTATGACTAGTCACCAAACAGTTCAACAAGTGGATGGTTCCCATCGGCGCCAACCTGCCAGGACCTGTCTCTGTCTACTCGGCCAGCCGGTTCAGTATCTCCCTCCCACCTCCTCCCACCTCCAAGTCATGTCATCGTGCAGATGATTGATCTGCTGCCTCCCAGGCATCCCCCCCTCCCCCAAAACGCCCATCTGACTGGTGGGCTTTTCACTTATTCTTTCGTGTTTGGCCCATTGCTGCCTTCACATTGGACCAACCCTTGGCCAACTCTTGACCAATTCTCCCCATTTTGCCTGGCTCACAGGTATCCCTCCAATTGGTGCCTGATTCCATTCCCATTGCAGTCCTGGTGGTGCTGCGGGCAAGTGTGGGTGCTTAGCTGCAAGGCTTAGGCTCAGACCCTCCAGATCTGCCAACGTCCTAAGACCCTGTTGCACTGGACTCGTCCTCGATGCGGCCTTGTGCTCGTGAGCACTTGCAAGGCAAGGGGCTAAAACTGCCAGGCAGAGCCCACTTGATGCCCAAGGCACACAGCGCTCCCTCTGGCTAGTCTGCGAGAAATGACACATGCCAGCGCCACTGTGCTGCCGATCTGATCAGAGGGACGTCTTCGTGATTCACCATTGATCAACACGGACTTCCAAGATGTCCGCATTTGTGTGTTGGGGCTCCCTTGGTCGATGCAAACAATTCAGAGCTCACCAGTCTCGCCAATGGTGGGCCAGCTTGACGCTTCTCTTCATGATTGACGTCTGATTATGAGTCGAAGCACTTTCATTTGATTAAGCTGCGATGCCACATCGCCGCACAACATCTGAGATGGCGTTATCCATTGCCTTGCATTGCCTTTCCACCAAGGTAGCACTATTGCGGAAGCGGCACGAGCCCGAAGCTGGCCACTTGCATCGGTAGCACCAAAGGAATTGGCCGATTTGAGGAATCAGAGGCACAGCCTTCTACCATGGAACCCCAGCTTTTCACATAACGACCGGAGACTTACTGCAGTCGGAGGTTGACGACAACAGGAGCTTCAAGGAACGAGGCATCCGAATTCAACCCATTGAAAATGATCACAAAGAGTCGCTGTGAGCATCAGACCTTGGCAAGCTACAAACATCGTTGAATTTCCAGAGTCCATATACGAACAATCTTCAATAGGTGTGGTTGCAACAGTCTGACCGGTCAAAGGACGAACCCCAGCCTTCCGCCTAAGGGCATAAGCCTGTAGAGCCGTTTTGCCTTTCCTGACGTATGAAAAGCACGATATCATTCTAATTCTATAAGTCATCTATGCCTAACAGGAAGCACGTTTTGTACGCGAAAGTCATTGCTAACACACCTCTTTTCACTTTTCAACTTCGAGTGTCAACGAACTAAACGGGAGCGGAAAACGATCGCCCTAGACTTAACACGCTCTGGCCTTATCAGGAGCCGTCATCGCCTCACGACCAGGTTTTCCGGTTTTGAGTACCCCAGTAGGAAGCAGCCGAGCAAACCCGTCTCGATGACTTTGCGTCTCTCATCCGCGCAAATCGCAATTAAGTGGCGATCTCAATATCACCCTGCACCAACTGCTCAGATCACTTGTCCGGTATGGATACTTTCTATAGTTTCCATCCCTTCGTCCTGCAGAGCCTTTCCTGTGTGAATATTCTTCCTTCGTTGGGAGGTATTATCTCTTCATTCCCAAATCAACAGATGTTATAGTTATGAGCTTCATTTATGGCACAACCGAAAAGTCCTCTGTTTGGTCAGTATTCATGAAAACGTCTCTATTGCTCTCGACCTTTCTTTGATCCAAAGTTAAGCTCAAGCGCTTGCACCATTATCGGTCTACAGAGCTCAGGGAAGAAGCGGTGGCTCGCTAATTGCAGCCCAGGTTCTATAAGAAGAGCCCAACATTAGCGAGGGGTTTGAAATGCGAGATATGCGTATTTCTTTCCTCTTTTCCTCGAATCCGTTAGGCTGCAAAGCTGTGGGGTCAGTGATGGCGTATTGACAATTCATCTCACGGTTCAATCGCCTGAATGTTTCCAGAATAATTGCCAGCTTCGGGTTTAATTCCGTCTCCAACAATGACACAAAATCAGAGCAAGTGCTGAAGCGGAGGACCTCGCAGGACCCAAATTTCTCGATGGTGTTTGAGCATTGGTGGTGCGGATGATGTAGGGCTGACACTGTTGCCGTAACCTAGGACGGTATATGCCCCTGATCCGCCGGAACGCACCACGAGACACCATAACCACGGAATCTTCGTCCAAACCCCGATGCTGTGAGTGCGTTCTAACAAGCAGCCTCTAGGTCTGATGTTTGCAATCTGGAACCGCCTGATTGTTTTGCACGTTGCCGTCGCATCCACCAATGGTGTGCGCCTTATTACTCATCAGGCAACCCGTGAAGTGGACTTCAACTTCAAGTCCTATTGCTTGCGTGTCACTGTTCTGCTAAATACGGCAGTGTGTGTTGCGCGTCAGCTACACCCATGAAAATGTTGCTCGGCCTCATACGACGCCTTTCGGATTAAGAGGGACCCGGAAAGACGGTCATCTGTTATCGACTGACGTGCAGAAGTGATGTCGCTGTCTCACAAGTGACGACACTAGAGATCTGGCAACTCTCAATGCTGACAAACAGCTGCACAAGGCTAGATGGAACGATGGCTTCTATTCGACAGACGACGCATGGAGCTTGTGCGCAACCCATCTGAGATCTCAACGCCGATGTCAGATGCTACAGTCGACGTCTTCGACGGGCCAAATACTTCCAACCGCGGGACTGAACCGTCGTGCTGTGCAGGGACCGCTTATACGACCATACCGAGTCAGGGACCAGGTCGTCAGGGATCAGGTCAATCGCGCTCCACTGCATAGGCACACGAGGCTACTCCCTTCGGTCAAAGGGCGCATCACGTTGGCGAGATGTCTTGAACCTTACAGCTTTCGTATCCTATGCGCTTTAGCTTCGCTATTGCAGATTTCCACTACTTGGGTAATATTCGATTAGTTATGTAGGTGCGGTTCACGCACGCGGCAGGTGAGAGCTCCGATGCAGAGCCTTTCTGAAAGACAGAATGGAAATTCCAACCTGGTTGTCACCTATCCGTCGGGTCTATCGCCGGACATAGTGCTCGCGTCCAGAATGTGGCAATATGTTCGCATGCTACGGACAAATAAGCTTCCTCCGATACAGCATTGCTAACCCTTGACGCCGAAGGAGAATGTCACGTCTCGCTTCTTGTGCCGTGCAACTCCATTTGAGTCATGCATGGTGAATATTCAAGGTGTCAGCAATCGTCTAGCTTTGCAGGGAACTCGCTGGCATGCAGAGGGTCGACCATGCGGATATAAAGGCGCGATGATGCCCTCAAAACCGTCAGTATTTGAGCCGAAAACCGTCAACAGGTACTCCTATCAAGATGGCTAAAGCAACAGTCAACCAGGGTCTTACCCTCCTTCTCTTGACTTCAATGGCCGTGGCTGCGCCAGTGATACAGAACAATACAGCACTTTCAACTTGTACGGCCTCCATGAATGGTGTTCTACCCAGTCCCATCTCTTCGGATTTTCATTTCAGTGGTCAGATCCGCCGGTACTACATCGCCGCCGAGGAAGTCAGTTGGAATTACGTCCCATCCGGCTGGGACAATTGGCTTGGAGTTCCAATACAGGACTCTCCACGAGCAAATTCAACGGGCTATACAGCTACAGGCTCTCTGGGCTTAACATGGCAAAAAGCACTCTATCGTGGATATACCGACGCTACCTTCACGAAACTTTCGCCTCAGCCTGCATGGCAAGGCATCAACGGCCCAACACTCAGGGCCGAGGTTGGAGACATGATCGAGATCCTATTCCTCAACCGCCTCTCAAACAACTACGCCACCATGCACTCCATGGGCCTTTCGTACAATAAAGAGAACGATGGGAGTCTATACGCGGACAGCCCACGTCCGGGACAGGAAAGCCTTTTCACGCCTGGCGATGCTGTTGCGCCCGGAGAATGCTTCGTCTACAAATGGGTGGTGAATGAGGGATCGGCGCCATCTCAAGGACAAGTCTCTCACATGTGGGCATATCACTCGTACGTGAGCATGCAAGAGGACCAAAACGCAGGTCTGATCGGATCGACCATTGTCTATGCTCCAGGCATGATGAACGACACTATGGCGCGATACCGCGAATTCGTCCTAGTATATATGCAATATGACGAATCGGATTCTTTCATGTCGCAAACGAACCTGGAGCTTCTGGCAGGGACCAATATCTCAGACTCTGGCACTGATTTATCATTGCCGGCCCCACAACTCAACCATGGATACGGAAACTTCTCAATCTGGCATCCACAAGAGGTTAACTTGAGGTCGTCTGGTCAACTCAGTGCAACGCAGGCCCCGACTTTCTCCACCCTAAATGGATATGTCTACGCGAACAATGCTCCCTTCGAAGTCTGCGTTAACGATCCCACCATCTGGTACGTCTCAGCATTTGGCTCGAATCCCCATGTATTTCACATGCATGGTAATGGGTTCGTGCTCAATGGGAATAATTATGCCGCAATCAGTAAGTAACTCGAGGGCTTTTTCCTGACCTCCCTTCAAGTCCTCGTTACGTCCATCATGGTCTCTCTAATTCTAGAATCTAGGCATTAATGACGGCGAGATGAAAACATTGCATTCTAGCATGACCGCCGAAGGCCAGTGGCAATTGATCTGCCACGTAGACAACCATCTGGCGTTCGGCATGGAGGATAACTATATTGTCTACCCGGCCGGCCAATGTCCGTTACCTCCCTTGGCTGGATAATTGTAACCGTCGATGGAGGTGTGTGTGTTGTGGGAAATAGAGTACATCCTGACAAACAGTGCGCATTACTCTCGACAATAAGATAGAGGACATCCTGGATAATAGTACCCATCACTCTCAGTAATAAGATAGATAGCTAGAAAGGTCACCATAGGGTCGGGACAAAGTTAATGAGGTTGAGACGAGGCTGAATGAGAACGCGGATTAACTAAGAGCCGAGGCTTGTGATAATTCTAGATGGGTTCTTATGCTCCGCTGTTGAAATTGATACTCGGGATCATTGGAGCTGATGGCGCTAAAGCACAAGAACACCGACTTGGTCGACTTGGTCGTCCTCGCAGCCGACTGGATTGACTGCCCCATTCTTGGTCAGGATATCGAGCATCGTCCCAATCATCTCATCTCACTATCACCTCGCCAAACGCACTGAGAGTCCTCCAACATGACCAACTTTCTCAATCTCCCCCCCGAGCTTCGCCAGAATATCTACGACTTCAGTCTACCGGTACAGCAGCTGAAAGCCCAGGATTTCTACGACCCTGCTTGGTCAGACGCTGAGAAACCGGCCGGCATCCCAAGCCTTTTCTTCGTCAACAAAGCCGTCTCTGAAGAAGCAGCGGCGGCGTTCTATTCTCGAGCTGTGCTCAACGTCGCCCCCTTGCGCCCAGCTCCCTATTTATTTGATTCTCTGACCAGCAACGGACCCAAGCTTAACCTAGCCTTCGGCTTGGACGTCGAGTTTTCCTCCTGCCCGCGGCGCCATCTGCAGCGGATAACAACAGCACGCATTTACAGCGGACAGCATGATGCCATTTCGGCCGAGGCTTATGAGGCTCTCCTCCGCTGGCTTGTCGATAACACGGCCGTGCAGATGATTCATTTGTCTCGGCGCCTGATGACGAGATTACGAAGGGCGAGAGCGGATATCAATGCGACATTCGACTTGCGTGCAGCTGCCCCTAGTCTGTCTTTGTTACGAACTATTTATGTGTACAGTGCTTATGATCGATCGCCCTGGGAGGTGACACGCATGCATGGGCTAGAGCAGGTTTTAGGTGAGACCAGATTGCCTGGAATACAAGTCTATGTTCTTGAGAAAGGCGGTCAAAATGATGCACTCCTGGATCCTCGATGGGATGCACGAAGGAGCGATGACAACCAAAGACGAGACATGATGCACAACATCTCGGGCTGGTTGGATTCCCTACTGGCCGGGGACCCTGCCGCTGAACAAAAAGGCCGTGCAGAAGATGAGCCCCGTTTATACCAGGTGTGCTTCGTTTTTCAACGCTCCCAGCCAAGGACAGGATAGAGAGTGCTGTCAATCTATTACCTACTTAGAAAGATTGAAGGAACCTCACGATGTGGCCGCGGCCGGGGGCCTTGATCATGACCTCTGTGTGCAAGGCTCCGGCAACAGTCTTTCGATCCACCTCCAAATTTTCTTCTTTGCAGACCTGTTCCAAGGCGGGCGCCTGGCCTGGAGGTACAATTTCGTCGTTTCCTGCCTCCAAAATCAGCACCCTCAGATTTGGTTTACTCTTTCCGATCTGATGAAGCGCTGTCTTGCTATCCCATGTCGACCGTAGAAACGGCGCCAGATATCGATAAGGGAGAAATTTTTGTGGATAAAGAGCCAAAAGGATGGCCCTCAAATCCACAAACGGGGTCTCCAGGAGGAGCCCTGAAAATCGTTGGAGCTTTGCGTTGCCGTGTCTCGATAGATTCGCAAGGCTTACGGTTGCAACCCCTGCACCAATGGACTGCCCCCATACCACAAATCGAGTTCCATCGTGGCTGTACCGACTTTGGGTCCATTCCAAGGCCGCCTCGGCATCCAGCTCAATCCCAGACTGGGAAGGACTACCCTTTGATTTCCAGAAACCACGATAAGACAAAGCCACAATGGTGTACTTTCGTCTGTTTTGCTGTTGCGACAAGCTTTTCAAGATGCTTGAAAGGTAGGGAAGCCGAGGTGGTAATGACGAGGCGTTCCTGATCAGTTTTAGAGAAGCAGAAGATTCATAAGGAGCCACTTACCCCTGGAAATACAGAACAACAAGATGGCCATTCACTTCGGACTCGGCAGAAGTTGCAATTGATCCTTCTAAAATCTTGATTGCAGTGCCATCTGCCGCCTTGAGATCATGTTCTACCCATGACACAGGCTTGCATTGCAACTCATAATCGCCAACTTTTTCGGACCTGGAGAACGGCGGGACTGACGGCATGTAGATGATTTTGTTCTGGAAGACAACCATCATCAAGCACTTGTACGTCCATAAAGTTACCAGCAATCCCCCGAATACTACAGGCGGTAGGAGAAAAGCCGGTACGGATTCAACACCAAAATAACGTCTCGGGATCAACGGCGAATAGTGGTTCGGATTTGGGACGTGCGATCTCTCGAACTGAATGCCGGTATGACGGATCGGATGTCCTTTCAAAGGGAGGAGCGGCCGCCATGCTCGAGCACATCTCATTGATACGAATGCTTTGTAATTCAGCAATGGCAAGTCCAGATTGTCAACAAGTCCGGACCGTGGCGTTTTCACCAAGCTCGACCCTGCCAAGGCACTAAACCGAATAGGGGCATATCTCATCCAGGATGCTCAGCCTTGCGCTGAGGCCCATATCGAGTCCCCAAAGTGGTTTTGAAGATCAGCGCGGTGGCATGATCGATCAGCGGCTGGAATACCCATTGTTTCGATCCCTTGACTCGACCTTTTTCATGAAATCACAACCAGCTGACGTTTGCCTTGTGAACTTGCTCCAACCACAGCGGACAGCAACAGCTGCCATCTCTCAACCTCGAGGGCTAATTACAAGTCGCAGTTCCCGGCTGCGTACTTGTATTCTACTACGTTGTGGCCTTCTCACTATGCCGTCTCCTTAAACCCACTTTATACCCTTCAGTTTACTCTCCTCCTCCCTCCAACCCAACCCCTCTTCACTCCATTTATCCCTTCACACAACCTATGTGCTCTTTCTCACCTTCACGCATTTCATTTCTCTTCACTTTACTCATCATCTCTCACCCTCATTGTTGTGTATTTTGTTCACCCGTACCATCCAATATTCATTGGACCATTCCACTCAATTCACGTTTACCTCCCCCGGCAATACCCCTTCCACCCAATTCATCTTTTGCTCTGACACATATTCGTTCTCCCCCATCTCTAGCAGCGCCTTATATCTCTTTCGAGTTCTGAAGATTTTGAGTCGTTTTTTTGGTTTAAAAGATTCATCCCGAAGCCCTCTGACAGGCATATCGGTGCATCCGTCGATCCTCAAGTTTGACAATTCACTCGCCGTCACCAGCTTCAGCTGCAATTTTCAGGAAACTCGTCGCATATTCACATTCGCATTTCATTATCTCATTATTCAATTCCGGTGTTGAAATCATCTCTTTTGCTCATTCTTGAATTAGTATCTCATCATTTATATCGTTGATGTCTGTGAGATTCTCATTTGATCGCTCTCTTTATTGCCTTAGTCGAGCCTAGAGCTCGCCATCGCGTTCATCTACCCCTCTTACTGCCCAAGATGCGCTTTCCCAGTCAGAGCCCTGACCGTCATCAGCCCCGGGATAAGCAAATTACGGCTGTACCTTGTGTTGGCTGGGTAGCCAATGGACCTCGATCTTATGGTCTTTATTCTCAGCAACGTCTTTCGAGCTGCGGAGAGACCCAGCGTCACTCGGAACAGCGAGGAACAAGAGAAGACAGGCAGCCCGTTAGCCAACAGCGCCGGGAGAATCCTTTACGGAGTGAGCAAACTAATAACACTATCCGTGGAGTGTCTACAGAGTTTGCGCTCGAATACCATAATCCAATGCAGTTCCTTGCGGAAGGATTTGCCCGCAGGCGGCGTGAACTCCTTAGCGAGGTTACAAGGCAGGAATCTCGTAGCGGTAACAGCAGACGGCAAGAAGCGGAATGCATTGACCGGGACCGATTCGATACAAGAGGTGGGCGCCGGTTCGACAGAAGCAAATCTCTGAGGGCATCACCGGGACCTCGCATCACACAAGAGGAGCCTACAGAGCTCGACAGAGACATGCCACAAGATCCCAATGAAAGCTCGGGACCGACTCCAGCAACCGATGAACATTTACACCCAACGATAAAGAGAGAAAGACATGGTTCTCGGCAGCGCAATTCTCCTCCAACTTGTCCAAGTCCGTCTGCATCAGATAGGGCCGGTGGAGTTCACCCAGTTTGCGTTTGTCCCATAGGCTTTGATTGTCCCAACAAGCGTGACGACCAAGTGGATTGCCGCACACTAGTACTCGAGTTCAAAGAATGGCAATGGACTCAGCTACAATTGTGCACTGAAAAGTAAGGCATACCAATATCTCTGAGTTATGCACTTCATATACTAATAGAAAGCTTGGTCAGACTGCCTCCAAATCATCCCATTGAAGAGGAGCCCTTTATCACATTGCATGAGGTGGTACCAATCGTCAGACTGTTGGACCAGGTGCATACACGGATGCGGATGTCAATGGGTATTCGGCACATCTTCGCCAAGATACAAGAGTGGATCAGGTTGATGTCAAACCACTCTATGACCCAGGAGATTCTCAACGAATCTCGGGTACTGGGCCATTTGAAGAAATTTCTTTCGGACGATAATGCGGTGGTCCGGCGGACGAGAGCTGTCCCAGAGTATATCATCGAAGACCTTACTTACCTGTGTCAAAAATGGGAATTCGGTGATCTAGGCGTCCTCGCCCGTCGCGGGCTACGCCTACACGGACTCAATGGCCTGCTGTTCCCAGACCCCGACTGGCCATGGAAGCGCAGCGCCGACTTTTTCGGCCACGGCCATCTCATGAACGGCCAGACCTGGTGCTTCCGCGCTGAAATGATGCGAGACGGGGCGCATGCGCCGTCTATTGCGGGAATCTACGGCACAAGGAAAGAAGGGGCGCGAAGCGTTGTCATGGGACTTCACGACGAGCGCAAAGAACGGTACTATGCCGACGTCGACCAAGGGAATACAATCTACTACTACGGAACCGCGCTATCTCGATTGCCCGATGATATAGAGCCCACCAACATAAAGGACCTCGTCACGCACCGGGTAGAGAGGATCACAAAGAATTCAAAAGGTCAAGGCCCAACAAACGCGACCATGTCCCTCTTCACATCTTACAGGACTGGCCGCCCGGTGCGGGTGTTCCGGTCATTTCGACTGGCGGAAATCGTGCCACATAGGCCGATCACGGGATTCAGATACGACGGGCTATATATCGTCACAGCACCGGAACTGGTCAAAATTGAACGCCAAATTTACAGATTCAAGATGGAGAGAATGACAACGGGGCAGGGCCCACTCCGCCACAGCGAAACCCCTCTGCGACCGGAAAATCGGCCCAGCCGAAAGCGGAAGCGCGACGGTAGCTAAGGGAAACATGAAAGGAGAGAGACCAAAAAAGGAAATGGTGCGGCTGATGCGGCCGGCCGATATTGCGCTCGGACAGGAAATGAGCTGGTGCTGAGCATGAGCGTACCGAGCAATGAACATAAAAACGACACGCCGCAAAGACGATGCGGGAGAGCACAACACCACCGCACGGCACCTGGCTGGCCGCTATCGCCAGGAACCCATCAACCACGAAAGATGCAATGACATGGTAGTTCCCCTCGAGCCAAATACCCGATTTCTACAGATGGCTCGAGACGATCGTCCCAACCGGGCGGGCCGGGGCCGATTGGCGATTCAAGGACCAACAAATGGCATAAACACAAAACATGGCTGGGCTTGCAGGCATGCAATTGGCACGTCTTCACACTTTCAATTCTACTTTTCGCGGGGTTATGCCAGGTACCGACCGGGGCTTTTATCAATTGCAATTCACACCGTGACCAACCCGTACATGGCCTGATGAGTTCATACGAGTTTACGAAGTTTTGGCCGATAATTTTGAATCTACACAAGCGCTCGATGCTTTATGGGTGGCTGGGGCTAGATCTTTTCTCCCCCTCTCCTCTCTCTTGATGATTCTGATTCGGACTCCCAACTTGGACTGGACATGAACACTGGAACTAAAGGGGAAGGGAAAATAAACAGGGTTGGGGGAGGCGGGTATACCTACGAGTAACTACACAGACTCGGAGGTACTGATGGGTGGGAGGTCGCGAGGCTGCGCTGCGAAAAGGGGGTGGTGCAGCAGTTCTCGAGTACCGCACCCACAGTTTGCCAACGACTGCATTGATACACGGCCCCATCTTTCCCGGACGACCACTGCTGTCAGCGAATCTTGAGGAGGCACGGGCTACGCTCACATGGCAAATGCAGGCTTCTTAGAGGGGTTATTCTCTTTATCTTAGCTATTTATTGTACAAGATGCATCTTCTCGGCTGATCTCCCGGTCTAGCAACCGATCAAACCAACCTGGCGGCCGTGTCATTCCACCCTCCAAGGAGCACTTCACGAGACATGACGAACTATACGGCTTCGTCTTATCTGCTCGACTTGCCTCCTCTATCTGCTGCGTGGCTTTGTGCTTCCGCACCTCTCGTGACCGCCCTTAAGTTGCCGAAGCTGAGCACATCCCCAATCCTCTCTTTCCCCGTGAAAAGCATGACCAACCTATCAATTCCACACCCCCATCCACCCGTGGGTGGAAGTCCCCATTCCAGTGCCTGTAGGTAGTCTTCATCAACTTTCATCACCTCTTCGACCTCTTCCGCATCAGCCTGATCAGTCTTCGTGCCGTTATAAGCTAGGTTGGGCCTCGCGCTGGTGTTAAGATTGGCATATTTTTGTTGATCCAAGAACTTTCGCCTTTGCTCGAATGGTGAATTTTCCTCCTCGTAACAGTTCACGACTTCCTTCCCTGCAATGAACAACTCCGCGCGCGCAGCAACTGGTTGATCATTGGGTGCGGTGGGATGAATGTATGACTTGGCCAAGGGAGACAGGCACTCGGGGATATTTGTGATCCAGACCGGTTTCCGGGACGATCGTGGTTCCAGGTAAAGCGAAGAAAGCTTGTCCACGAGCCGGGGAATGGTGGGATTGCCAGGGAGAGTTAGGTTGTGCGAATGAAAAATTTCGAGGAGCTGGGAGTGGGCGGAGGGTGAGGAGAGATTGGTGAGATTGATTCCTAACGCAGAGTTGAGAGACGGGATGAAATCAATTTCTTCGTAAGGACCTTGAACAGAGTCGAGAAGATATGACGGTGCGTTCGTGTATCGGTCAGGTAGGGCCTTGATGGCCAACGTAATGTCCGTGATGAGCTGCTTCGTCATGTCCATCAGTTGGCGCAGATCGTGACGAACGGCATAGAACTCGCAAGTCGTGAACTCGGGATTGTGCGTTTTGTCGAGGCCTTCATTCCGAAAAGAGGGTCCAATCTCAAAAATCTTGTCCATGCCACCGACAATGAGCCTTTTCAGCCAGAGTTCGGGTGCAATACGTAGGCTGAGTTTCCGATGAGGAAATTCTGTTGCCTTGGTCTCGAAAGCTTTGGCAGTTGCACCGCCCGCCGCGGAGGATAAAATGGGAGTGCTCACTTCAACAAAGGAGCGTGATTCGAAGAATTGTCGCATTGCTCGGATGAGTGCAGACCGGGCCTTGAACGTCTCTATGATTTGGGGATCTGTCTGCATTTCGACATGTCGAGGCTGGTAGTTGGACTCCGCAAGTTCGGTGGTTGCAAAACCTCGATGCTCGACAGGGAACCGTTGGAGGCAAGGGGACAGAATAACAGGCAAGGTCGACGCCTGGATGGAGAGTTGGCCATTCTTCGCCTTGTATGGTTGAAATCCCTTCAATGCTTCGTTCACACAATCAGTGGGCAATGATTCATACAACACGCTTCGAAAGTCTTACAAATATAGTCGCCTCTCCTGAGCAGCCGGCAAAAGTGTTTGAAGTCGGCCATGGTCACTCCGGAACCTGCAAATGACGAATGAGACAGCATGACCTGTAGCTTCATCTGATCCTCAATGATATCAACGAATGCCAACTTCGAGCTGCTCAGCCGGATGGAAGAGATCCTTCCTGACACTGGTAGTTCCGTCAGAACGTTTTGCGTCTTTTTGCCTCAGTTGTTAGTCTTGCCTTCTATCCAGTCGCTAGAAACCGTAAGATCATCTTTGTCGGCACTGTTGTTCACTTGCGCTTCCAGCGACTGGAAGCTTCGCGCCTGGTGAGTATGTTGAAACCGTGGGTAGAGTGGTATGGAGGAACACTGCAGCTCTTGCATGCGCTCTTGGACCTCTTTAGTTGCATGTGGGCTTTCAGCTTTGAATGCGCTGTGGGAGCTTAGCCTTGGAGCTCCCACCGCAAAGTATGGTCGCGGCATCCATGGCGGCGTCTGCAAACGAGATTTTCGTCCGTGGAAGTCGATCGAGACGGGACTACCAGTGGTAGCTTCAGGGACGCTAAAGGCGCAATGTCAGTGTGTGCTTTTCTCTAACAGCGGTATGAAGCATGGGCATTTGGAATATTTTGGCCATAATCAGACAATCGCCGGAGAAGTTTGATCACAGACTAGCAGAAGCTAGCATCACTCGCAGCGGTTCTCTCGTCGTCTCATCATCTAGGTGCGAGAGGGATGGGGAAGTGATTGAGGTAAACGTACCTTCTTTGCGCCGGCCAACGAGTCGAACGCCATGCTCGCCACGTCGACCTTCCGTACATGAAGCTGCATGAACAGGACTACGACCTGAGGCCTTGAACGAAAAGGACTGGTCGCAGTTGTTGTTGTTGTTGCGAGAATCCATGGGAAAATTAAATGTTCGCTTAATCTTCGGGGGACTTCGCCCCTGCGTCCCTCGTCTTCGAGCTGCGCAACTTTTTGTACTACATTCCAATACCTACGTCTCAAAAATAGTCGACATTATCTACGGGGCGTTTCTTTAGAACACTCCGCGCGCACTTTTTCAAAAAGAAGAACTCCTGCTACGAGGCTCACCGTTACCCACAATGTCCTTCCTCTTTGGTGGCGGTCGACCTCAACCGACCTCCGCAGAAAAGATTGCTGCGGCAGAAAATGAAGTCGAGATGGTCTCAGACATGTTCAATAGGTACGGACGCAGCCTTCTGGCCGATTTGTGTCTCTTTCAATGCTCTTTGAGAGATTCGTAGCCGCCTCACTATGATGGATACTGTGCTGATACCTTCTAGGTTAACACAATCCTGCCTCAAGAAATGTATACCGGCCGACTACCGTGAAGCCGATCTCAACAAGGCCGAGAGCGTCTGCCTCGATCGATGTGTGGCGAAATTCTTTGAAGTCAATATGAAAGTGTCGGAAAAGATGCAGGGCGAGGCGGCCATGAGACAAGGAGGTGCTAGTGGTGGAGGTATGTTTGGAATGTAAATCGAGGAAGAGATATCAGTTTCTTTCATCATGTCGACGGCCATCATCTAAGCGCATATCGAATGACCTTGGATCGGCGCCTACATTCGTGTCATTGCATCCACCATGGAGGTGGGCTGTTGGACTGATTCTACGGTGGACTTGAAGGATTGGAAAACTTGTGTACAGTATTTCGGCCAGATTCGATGGGAGAACTGGCACAGAACAGTCCTGCTTGGTTTGTGTTCGTGCCATGGGTTGAAGAGATGGCACAGTGGAAAAAGAGCATCGAATCTCGCTTCTTACAGCCTGGAACCAGATCACTAGAGCTCTATATCCGTTGATCCGGATCGGCGAGCTTTTACAACGCACAAACGCCTCGCTAATCTGCAGAAAGCATCGCCTTTTCCTTCAAACTCCCACTATCGTTCCCTCATTTCTTCGTTCCCAAAAGGCTCAGCATCCTTGCAATCCACGACGAACTTGCAGGGGGGCCTTCATTTTCACCATTCAATTCCCTGGCCCGCCCCTCAATAAGCAACACATTTCTTTCAAAGTCATCTACCCCATCCTCCACCTCCTGCAGTCGACTCTGCAGGCTGTCCAGTTCATAATCCAGTTTCGCACCCAGCATTTCCACGCGTCGAAAGCTCTCTGTCAAAGCAGTCTTCTCTTGCGACACAAGATCGGACGAAGTAGCTTGTAGAGTCTGATACTCTTCCAGACGATGATAGTACAGTTCGTTGAGTTCTTCAAGATGTTGATGCGCCATTCGATCCAGGCTCTCCACATGGGCGACTCGGCTTTCTGTGTATGGGACTAGACCTTGTTGAATGCGCTGGATGCGTTTAGCTTTCTTCTGTGCAGAGGCCACTAGAGCGTCTCGTTCAGCCAGTGCATTAGTGAGGTCTCCCTCGATTTTGCCCTTCAAAATGCCCTCCTCCACGATGTCTTTGCCCGTGTCCAGAACAGCACTTTCCACCACGCTGAAGGAAAGTCGGCGGTTGATTCGGTTCTGGCGGGGACTGTCGATGGTATGGCCAATTAGTAGGACGCTGCTCTGCGTTCGTCGCAGGACCCGGCTGCCGAGGCC